CTGTATACATACAAACACAAACACACAAACAGGCACAACAGTTTGACACCAGCAGTGTGTGTATGCTACCCCAGGCGGGGCTCTGGGTCCCTGCTGTTGGCCGTCTGGTTCCACGCCTGCTCTACCTGTGTTTAAAAGGGGCGGCCCCCATGAAGCTCAGACCTTAGAGTGCAGGCTGGGCTGGGCTGAGCCCCCAGGGCTTTCAGGGTGTGGGTGCCTTGCAGCGGACACCTTTTGTTACAGGCTGGGTGGCAAGAGGAGGAGGTACTGATGTGGGAGGGGTGGAGGGGCAGAAGAAAAAAAAAAATGAGTAATGCTATGAGTCATTCTGCATTAGCAGCAGGGGAGGGAGACAGGGAGAGGGGGAGTGGATGAGAGGGGGGCGAAGGGAGAGAATACTTTTGCATGTTGTATGAAGCTAGACGCCATATGCCATCCGAGCTGGGCTGCCTCCTGAGTCAGGGCTCTTGGTTTGACAGGCCTATGCTTGCCCCCTCCGCACCCCCAAAGCTACCCCCCTTCTTCCCTAACTAACACCCTCCTCCCTCTAGGCCTTCCTAGGCTCCAGCAATGGGCTAGGCAATTGCTTTGGTTGTGCATTTGTGTGTGCTCTGTGTATTTATGTGTGTGTGTGTAGGAAAGGGGGGGGGGTTACTCAGTGATCTGAACACATCGGACATTGTCGTGAGTCCCGGCAGGAACAGCTGGTCAGCTGGAGAGAGGGGTGGGAGGGGGTAGGGATAAGGAGGGGGAAGAGATGGGAGGCAGTGCGGTACACTGATAATGGGATTAGGTTAAAACATTCAGTGGGGGAGAGACCCCTCCTCTCTCTGTAGCCCCCCAAATACTGCATAAACTCTCAAAGCCAATGCCCAAACCACCCTGGCCAACTCTGAGTAGGGACACCTCAGAGCTGGCCCTTTACCCAACCTCCAACTACCTACACTCCCACCAACAGCAGCTGCATCCAGTAATATGGACACAGTACTAGACAGTTAACATCATACACTGTGTGACAAGTAAAGTGATTTCTTAAGCCTCCCTTTGAGAATTTTACTGTAAGTTACAAATGACTTGGGGCTATTTCGTTGGTCGCCCCTGTTTTCCATAAACAGGAAGTTGGCTAGTCATACTCATATCAGCTCAGGCCATTACATGAATCCAGCATATAATGACAAGCTTGGCGTCTCACTGTGCCCAGTCAAGCACTGTGTTTCACAGTGATATAGACTGCTGAGTATTATCCATGAGACTGCTGACAGTTATGGCACAACAGCTGGCAAATTAGACCTATCAACGATGTTAAATAATTCATGTGAGACAACACTAACGTGGCAGATCCTATTCATGGCACCCCATCATGCATGCAGGCGCACTTTCATCTCTGCTAGGTGAGGAATCTTACAGTATACAAAAGAACGTGCTGCCGTTGGACAAAGACACAGTGAGAGTGGTACAATAACTTGCTCAGAAGGGGTGTGAGAATATGTCATTGTCAATGCAGTGACTGTAACAATTATGATGGCATCTGGTGGGGGTGCAGCCACAGCGCACAAAGGAGTGCATACAGGATATCTTATCCATTATTTTCCAGTATACATCCATTAAAATTATGTACATCACCTTGTTTTGGGCATTCTGTGGAGCTGGGGGATTGTAGATATGCTCACATGAGCCTGTGAGGGGAACATGACAGACTTCAGCAGCTTTCTGGGTTCCACTGAAAGGATCAAGCTTCCCTCTCTTCTTTTTGCTACTGCACACACACACACACAGACACACACACACAGACACACACACACAGACACACACACACACAGACACACACACACACACACACACACACACACACACACACACACACACACACACACACACACACACACACACCACCTAAAAGCCTGGCTCGCATGACTGGCGATGGGCAGAAACAGATTATGGTTATTGATCGCTGCCTGGAGATGGATCTGTGTGTGTGTGTGTGTACATGTGTGTGTTTATGTGTGTGTCAGAGCAGAGGATGGGGACTAAGGGCAGTGTGCAAAAGCTATTGATTCTGTGCAGTGGGGAGGCTGTGTCTCTGAATCAAGGTCAGTTCCGCACTGTCTCACCTATTAGAAACTTGCCGTCTTCCCAACACACACACACACAAGACAGTTTTTACCCTTTACAATATCCCCATCACAAAGAATGATGGACGGCAGATCAAACTCAAGTGCTTGTTGAAGAGAGAAATGAATCCCGGCTTCTGGATGAAGACATTATTCTACAGTGACAGTATGAAGGATCTCAATTGTACATGGCAGCAGACCGCAAGGCCACTTAGTGACAGGCGGGGTTCAGGTGACACAAACAAACTCATTGTCTCCTTTAAGCCAGTATGTCATACATTTTGTGTGTGCAGTGATAAGCTCCATTAATAGAGGCACAAAATAATATTCACTTAGGATACTCTGTTGCCAATAAATTAATAAAAACTATGGTGGTTTAATAAAAACTTAAGTTGTTTTAGATTTAACATTTTGTGGTCACGTGTATTCAAAATGCAGCTGTGCAGTGTGGACTAGTTGCAGACAATACACTTAGCACATACAAAGCCAGACCAGCTGCATTTTCCATCAGGCATATAAATAATAGATGATACATTATGAGTTGTCTGTGAGAGGCTTGTGATATGATGTCCATGAGGCCTTGGTTGTGTCTTGACAGGAGAAACTGATGCAAATTCTGACTGACATTGAGATCTGGCCACTGTACAAGAAAAACAATGCAATGACACAGATTCCACAAATCCTCACAAAACAGAGAGGGAGTGAAGCAGAGAGGGCAAGAGAGAGGGGACGTAATGGGGAGGAAGACAGAAAGACAGCAAGAGGAGAGGATCTATCTGAAAAAACACTCCACAAGCCTGCCTGTGTGTGTATTTTCTGAAAATGTTGCTGGTGGTCATTTTTCAATATCAAATCCTATTAGCCTGAGAGATCCGGTGAGCGTTGCAGTTGACTGCTGGAGTCCTCTCGAGCCTTGTGACAGAGTGAGAGAGGGGGCTGCAGCGCCATACTGGCCTTTTATCTGGACACACAGGGGTCATATAGCTTCTCTTTGAAGAAATATTCAACTAATTACCTTGGAGTGTGGCCTCACAGGCAGAGAGCGGACTGAGGATTGTTAAGGCATTGTGAAGGGGTAAACTAAGGATGAGGATTTTCATCTTGCATGAAAAAAAAAATACACATCCCAGATGATGTCATTGTTCCAAACTGTGAGAGATAAAGAGCCACATATCCTGAGAAGATGGAAGAATGACAACTGGAGAGGGAAAGGTGCAAAAGGCTGGTGTAATACAACAGCAAATCCGATGATGAAAACATATGAAAGAGTAACTGCACCTGCCACTCAAGGCTGTTTTGTTCACGGTTCATGCCATTGCTGGACATTGTGTCAGTCATAACATTCTGTGATACCAGTTCTCTTAAAATCTAAAAACTTGGATATCACTGTCACACTGCATAAATCAAATTCAACACTGTGGTCATTCATTACTTTATACATCGCCTCTGTCCTCACAATACCCTCTAGCTAGGCAGACAAATAGCTGACAGACAGACACACAGATACTTTTGCTGGCAGTGTGCTTCGCCTGGCACATTCATTCATCTCCTCTCTTGGAGTGCATGAGGCCTGGCATCCTATCAGTGCCAGAACTCCAGAGGCAGTGCTTATCTCCTCTCATAGATCATGCCTTTGTGCTGTCTGCTCCTCTGCTAAGGAATGCCAGGTAAGGCTTCTGTGGCCCAGCACAGGCCTGGTACTGTCCCACCTCCCTACTCCCCCCCACCCCTTGAGGCTCACAGAGGCAGGCAGGCCTGTGGCTTGCCCCCCTCTGGCACTGAGAGTCACACTGGGCTAATTCACTTGGCGTCGGGTAACAGACATCTGTCACTCAGGATGCCCCCAGGGACACACAGACAAGGCCTGATATAGGGGTGGGGGGCCTGGGGATGTGCTGTGCTGTGAAACGCATACAGGCAGACACATACTTACACACACCCAACTGTAAACAACACACACAGAGTGTGTTGTAGAGTAATTAAAGAGCAAAATCCTTCGTTCTAAGTAACTCTGATACCAGAACTTGATAATGAAATTTATTTTAAAAGTCTTAAAACTTTAGATACTAGTCTTCCATCTAAATGAAATCTCCTTGGGGGAGGTTTCTATGGCAACCACCAGAGTGGCAGCGTGGTTCTGGTGAGGCGGTGCTGTACATGCTGTCCGAGGAGGAGCGGAGCGTTAGGATAGATCAGGTTTCCCCCTCCAGGGCCCATCCCGACTCTGCCCCCCATCTCACCCCCCAACCCTGTGCTGCTGGCATTCACATGCTAATTCATCTCCATTGGTGATTACACTCCCTTTAAACCAACTGACAACTACAGCTGGAGTCAGGCTCTTAACGGCACACTGTTGGATGGATGGGTGGAGGGATGAGAGCGAGTGTGCATGTGTGTGTCTGTACGCACTTGTATGCATTTGTTGATGGTGCTCTTATTTTGGCTCTCCTTGTGCTCCATAAAACGGTAGTGATAGATGATGACACATTATCTGTGCTCCTACCCAAAACAGCCTCACACAACCTCCCATGCTGCTCCAGGCTGTGAAACAGTCCTGGCCTAATAGCTGTATGTAAATCAGCCAGCCCATAAAAATCAGTGTCAGCATTCAGCTGTGTACGTTGGCTGACGTGACAATCACGCCACATGTCTCAATGAATTTACCCAAATGGGCTGCTGGTGGTGCTGAAAATTTATCCTCAGAGGTGTTATGCATCTAATGAAATCATCATGAAAATATTGCTAAATGTATGCTCATAACATTAATGGTCTCAGCTGTACGGGCAATAAACGCTGATCTTTTTAAATTGTTACATTCCTCTGATGAGCCATTCATATATGGGATAGTAAACAGTAAATGAAGCAGAAGGCATGAGGAGTAAAGGATACAAGCTCTGGTAGAGAGTCAGCCGGGACTTGACAGCTCTGCTGGCATTGATACAGGTGGCCCGCACCAAGCTTGGCAGCAGCGACCCAGTGATGATGGCGCCATTAAACAGAGGCCCAAAGAAAGGAACCTGAGGAAGTTAAGAGAGAAAAAAGAATAAGACAGAGTAAGAAAATTAGGCATTAAAAACGCCCACATCGAATCAAAGTTAATTTGTTCAGTCTCCTGTTTTTTATAAGCAAATGCTTTAACATAAAAAAAGGTTGGTTAAAAATCTTTTTGTTCTTTTTTGAACCGTTTCTCCATCTGTTTAGGGCAGGGTTCAAGTTGAAATTGGATTTTACCTAACTTTGCATGACAACCACACATATCTAATGTGAATCAATGTTAGGTAAATGAAATTAAAATGACAATCAATACTAAACAATGCCCTCATATTGAGCTACCGAACAAATACAAAGGGCCAATATCCAGTTTAGCGGCAGTGTGTGAGTGTGTGTGGGTACACGCGTCTGTTCATGCATATTGGAAGGGGGCCCTTAATCAGTGAAGCTCAATGGTCGTTGACCTGGAAGTTGACGTGAATGTCAAAGTCTCCAAAAGGTCCTGCTGTCTTCAACTTGGCAGTTCAGTGAGTATAATAAGTAGTCAAATTAAACAATAAATGGATTTAAACCAGAAACGATACAGACCAATTAATTTAATCACATGCTACAAAACTGGAGCGACACTGTGTAATCTTACATCAGAAACCTGAGTAGATAACTTCACTGTCATGTGAACAAATTAAGCGCACCCCATGGAAATTGTTGGCTTTTTTCAAGATATTTGAATCAGCAGTGCCTATTAATAAAGATGATATACTCAAACAAATAACACATAAAACATTTTCTAGTCATTTTCATAATTTAAACTGATAAATTATATGAATAAAAAACATAAAACAGATCAGTTACAAGTACAAAGTAAGAACACCCCTAAATTTATCAGACCTTCAGGTCTAGCGTTACAGATTAGGTTCCAATTATTAGGATCTCCTTAGAGTAGAGCAGGTGGAACCTTTCTTATTCAAACCTCATCTAGGGTCTGATGTTCTCTTTGCTATTGAAGTGTGTGGTATCATCATGCCCAGATCTGAAGAGCTCTCTATGGCCTTCAGAAGAAAAGATTGTGCATGCGTATGAGTTTGGCAATGGATTTAAAAAGATACTTGAATTATTTAAAAGAAATCATTTGACTGTAAGGAAAATACTTTTCAGATTTCAATCAACTACCAATTAGTGCAGGCCACCCCAGCAAATTCAACCCGAGAGCAGACCGTTTGATGCAAAAAGAATTCTCCAAGAACCCCAAAATCTGATCACAGGATCTAGAGGTAACTCTTGCAATTGTCTGCAATCAGAAAGAGATTGCACAAATTTGACCTGCATGGGAGGTTTTGGCAGGAAAATGCCTTTGATGTCCAAAAAGAACATTAGAGCAACACTTAAGTTTGCAATTACATATAAGCAAAGACCGGGCCTTTTGGGATAATGTGCTCTGGACATATGAAATACATATAGAGTGTTTTGGTCACAATAACAGTACACAAGCTTTTCAGGGGTAGAACCTTGTGCCAGCTGTGAAACATGGTGGTGGAAATGTTACGGTTCAGGGTTGCTTCAATGCCTCAGGGACTGGGCAGCTTGCAGTCATTAATTAAATTCTGCATCATATCAAAGAGTGCTGGAAGATAATGTGAGGTCAACTGTCCACAAGTTGCAGTTGAACCAAAACTAGACCTTTAAACAGGATAATTATCCAAAGAACACTAGTAAATCCACCAAGGAATGGCTCAAAAAGAAGTAATGGATGGTTATGGAACATCCTTGTCTAAAACCCATATTTTAATCCCATTGAAATGTTGTGGGAAGGGATTTGAGATGGGCAGTACATGCAAGAAAACCCTTAAACATTTTAAACTGAAGGAATTTTGCATGGAAAAAATTTCAGCAAGCTGATGTCAGAGATGGGTGGACAATTATGTAAAATGCCTACAAGGAGTTATTTCTGCTAGCTATTTCTAGACTCTGAGGCCACAGAAAGATATTACATCTATTGATATTTTTGTTGAATAATGATTGAAAAAGCTAATTTTCCTGGTGGTTTTGTTCAAGTAAATTACCCTTATCTGTAGGCCCCTCAAAGAGGATAACATTTTTGGTTATTGAAATATGTTGATAAAGAGTTTCCATTGAAATGTACTTATTTTCTCAAATGACACGACTGTGTGGGTTCTAGGAAGAAACACTGTGGAAACAGTAAGAATTTTTGATAAGTCTAATGGCTTGTATGGGGTGGAGTTAAGTGGGCAGAACACTGGCAACTTTGTTTTGGCTGCGGAAACCCTCTGAAGCCAGAATGTGTGTATTCACTCATTTCTGAACCATCTGCAACTTTAATTCATACTTTAAAGCAAGTTCTCATACTCCTCTGTAGGAAAAGGTCTTCTTTTCCTTTGTTAGATTTAACTGTCAGACATAAAGTGAATACAGTGCAAAAACAGTCAAAATAGTCTCTCACTGGGTGTTAATAGAGGCAGTTTGCCTCAGAGTAACAATGACACTATTGCTGGGTTAATTTTCAACCTCACAGAGATGAAAATAAATTGTTACTATGATAATTAAACTGGTAATAAACATTGTCTGTAGAAGAGTAGATAATTGCTAAATGAATGAAAAGGAAATACTGCAATGCAGGTAGGTGAACAAATAAGTGATTAATAAACCATGGGTAGCACTATAGGAACACTACAACCATTTCTCCAGAGAGATCAGAGGTCTTTTGAGGCTGTTGCTATAGCTTGGACTGTCCTAATAAAGCTAAAGTGAGACAAATACAACATATTCTGTCTTGCATTATGTTATTTATTCCTCAGTCATCTCTCTTAAAAATGACTTGTTTTAATTAATGTCTTAACGATGAGGAATACAAAACAGACTGTATTATGGTAAATATTGTGGATATCGGAAGACCAGAAGCCAGCCATCTCAGATGACAAAATTTCACTATTCTCTAGAGGGCCACACAGTGAGTGCAGTGCTATGGAGTATCCAAGATGAAAGCTAGTCAAGAAAGGCTAGTAACCATCTCTGAAAGCACATACCCACAGTGTGGGTAATAATGCACTGCTGGAGTAGGAGCCTTCAGATGGAAACCGCAATAGTTGAAAGAACCTATAAAACTCACAGCAAAGTCTGAATAGAAAGAAAGCACAAGGGACTGCTTTAATTCACGAACAGAGACTGGAAATTAGTGCAGTGCTGAAAATAGCCTGTGTGCTTTTCTTGCTTATTATGCCTGGAAAATAAGCTGACATCTTAGCACAAAAGAAAAAGCAGCGAACTAAAACAATGTTTGAGGACATGCATTAAAAATTACTTCCCACTTCCAGTGTGTATTGTTAACAATGGTCTTAACCAAATCCTGTGATGGCAGTATTTTTACCTGTGGTTTCTTCACGATCTGGATGAAATACATGTGGTTCTTCATCGGGTAGATGATAATCAGCACGTCGCCAAAGTCAGTTGGTATGATGCCACGTCGGTAGTCCCTGGTGTGCTCTGACCACACTATGTGAACCTCGTCATTTCCCAGGTGACGTAGCTGTTAAACAAACAAAATCAGTCTAATCAAGTACCTGGCGAGTGAAGGTAATTTTCATCCCATGGTGATGATGACAGGAATACAAATTCAGTGAGATTCAGTGAAACTGGGTTTATTCAGCGGCCACCCCCATGACCTCTAGAGGGCTAAGAAGTCAACTGAGGGGATGAATGATAATAAAATATTATTTACTGCTGGCAAGTCAGTAGAGGCTCCACAAGTAATGTGCCGTAACTGGCTTTTATCACTACATGCAGCAATATATTATTTAACGATTTATTCCATTATAAGCACTGCTGTAAAATGGTGTACACTAAAGATAAAACATAAATGCAGCAGGTGCAAGAGCAAGGTGACTGCTTACAGCTAAATCAGAAACTGTTTGGAAACAATGGTTTAAATAGGGGTCTCGGCCCTGGTTTTGACTCTTTTTATAGCTTTTTTCATTACAAATTCAAATTGCAAACTCAAAATGCACAAAATTGAGCATTTTAAAAACAAATAATTCAAATCCAATTAACTGTCTCCATCAGAGAGATAAAATTGCCTCCCATTTCCACTCTATTCACAAACACAAATGAAACTGGGCAGGACAAGAAGATACACTTAAATGACAGGAAATTGACTGATGCTAGTTTGAAATAGGTAAACAGCTTTCCCCTCTCCAAAGTAAAATAGATGGACACAGCTACATTATAAGTGTAGATCACTTATTAGCTGGCAGTCCAGTGAGGTTGAATCAAGCTGTTCTTCCCCTTTCTGGGGTATCATGGACAATGAAAAGTGAGCCTCTACTCAGAAGAAAACATCTGCCAATGTACTGTGGGCCTAATGAGCTATTAAGAAACATGCCCCCGCCACCAAAAATGCAATTAGCACATTCTGTTATAAGCCCTTAATTATGGTAATACGGTAATCTTAAACAAATCCACGGCATGCTGATTACTGGAGCTCGCCAGTTCAGTCTGTCTGTCCAAGGATCAGCAGGTACCAACCAGGTCAGTCACTGGGACAATTTCAGAGAAAATGTTGAATATGCATTTGCTGTAGACAATCAAGACTGGGGTGTTAATTTGGGTTAAGATATTAGCATTTGGATGAGCTGAATCACAAGTTTAATGAGGATGCTTATGCTCTGGTCAATCATCTTCTGCACCAATCTATTTATTCCTTTGTTAATGACATCCAAATGTTTGAGACTTCTTTAATAGAATGTGATTCAAGTCAAAGGCTCTTGTCCAATTAGCCCTCTTTGACCTCCCACCTACCCAATGGGCTTCACACACATGGAGACAGCAAACCAGAGGACCCCAGAACACAAGAGGGTCCTTATAAAAACAACCTGCAGCAGCCCAGTTAAGCTGCAAAGCTGCAGTGCCTGGGGGTGAGTGTGATAACTAAAGCACCCGTCTATCTCCCTCTCTTACACACACACACACGCACGCATGCACGCGCACGTGCGCGCAAACACGCACACGCACACACACACACACACACACACACACACACACACACACACACACACACACACACACACACACACACACACACACACACACACACACACCATGGCCTGACCCCAACCCTGCAGGTCGCTTCTATAACCGCATTACTGAAGCCAGCTGCTACTGCTGCAGCCTGCACTGCCCTAAAACCCACAATTGGATTGAGGAATTCATGGTTTTCCCTCTTTTCTTTTTGGTTTTGCTGTTTTTTTCCCCCCATCGTCCTCAAACAGGCAATCTGCCCAGTGAGAGCTCCCTCACAGTACCTCTCCCTGGTCACAGGCAGTAAAGTGGGTGACTGTTGGCCTAAAAGTGTTATTTTTAAATTGACAGGGGAAACATCCCACTTGAACACAGAAGACAAAGCTCATTCCAATTCTCCATACCATACCTTTCTCTTCTCTCTGCCCCCTCCACCCCATTTTTTTCTGAATCATCTGTGCATGCAGCCAGCCAGCCAATTTCGGCTAGGCCTGTGGCTGGTGTGGAGATCTGTGCAAGGTGAGCATGAGTAATTACAGAAGTTCTTGAGTGAAATGAATGGAAGTGGAGTGGCAGCACACTCCACTCTGGGCATGGCCACCCCTCCAGTGCCTCACTCTGGTCAGCCAAAGTCAAAATCTTTACTCAGCTACTAAGCAGAGGTTCAGGATGGGTTTGGAATGAGTTAGGGGTTATTTGTGAAACAGAGAGGGGGTAGGTCTGTGGAGGACTGGAGGGGGGTTGGATATGAGGAGAGCCTGATGAATTTCCCTTCTCAGCAGGGTACTGTATGAGAAGATTGGCAGCACGGGCAGGGGCCTTGCGGCTCATTTCTTCCTGCTAACTGCTACTGGTGCACTACAGCTCAGAATCCCACTGCAGAACCCAATCGATCGCTCCTGTGGCGGCAGCAGGAATTGGATAAAAGGATCCTGCCGGCATCCGGCCGGCGCCTGCCCTAGCAGGGAGAGCTAATGGCTGAATCCAGGCCCTGGTCACAGCACACAGGGAGGGGGGCAGGGGCTAGCAGAATCACAGTCATTACCACAGCGGCACATGCCCTCTCTTCACTCATGCGCCTGCGACTCTCTACTCCTCAGGCCTGCCTGGCCAGGGTCACTAATCAATGCCCGCACTCTGGAGTCACACCTCCTGATCACAGCTTAACACAGAGCTGAAGGCTACAACAACATACTGCTCTGGGCAGGAAGGGCTGTGTAGCCATTTCACTGCATCAAACTGGCAAAGCAGTTTTTTCAGATTTTTCTTAACATTCTCTGGACTTGAGGTGTGCAATTAATGCAATATATCATGATAATCCAAATATCACAGACAGGCAGGAATTGACCTAAAATATCTTGCCACAGGTTAAAAACAGATCATGAACATAAGCAGGACGTTTTACCTTTTTGGTGAGGCAGTCATCAGAATCAGATGGCATGCGCGTGGAGACATGGAAGATAGCTTCCACAGTGGAGGTAGCATAGTAAGGAGCTGTTAGACCAGTGCTGCCATTCCTCTGGAGGCCACCCATAAAGCCACAGTGCGTGGCCAGGTCCACCTGGGGGTAACATGTACATTGTAATGTTCTGAGTGTGCCTGCACATCTATGTGTGCATATTTAGACTTATATTTGTGGATACAGATAGTGTGTTGATTTGAAAGTGTGGTTGTCTGCACCTCCCATCCCAGTCCAGACACAAAGTCTTCATAGGCCTGGCTGCCTGCACTGTTAGACAAGATGGAGCACTTGTCTTCTTGGCCCTCTCCAATGTAGAACACAGCAATCTTGTGCGTCTCTCGACTACAGAACAAAAGATATAGTTGCCAGTATTAAAAGAACAACAACAAAACAGCGAATTTTACAAACGCATCAGAACTTGAAAAGCTTCTCACTCCTCCAGCCACTTAAGATAAAAAGGCTTTGAAATGTGAATTCAATGACTCAAAACACTACACCTTGCTTATCAAGGTAAATTGTGCGACTAAGTGTAATTGAGTTGCTGAATAAAATCATGAGAGTATTGCCTCAACTTTCCCTGTTGCCATGGCAGTACATCGTACTGGGGACGATTTAGGGGACTTTGCATGCTTTCGCACAGGTTGTTATTGCCCAAACAAGTCCAGCCATTTGGGAGAATCAGGTCCAATCCTGAGGGCATTCTTTAATAAGCTCCTGTCATTGGCAATGTGTGGAATCCTTATTGATTGGACTAAAAAAGACACAGTAAGAGAAGGACAGCAAGAGTGATAGTGGGAGACTTCCAGGGCTGTGAACAGCAGGAGGTGGTACAGATTAGGAAAATTATGGGGGAAGAAGGGAGGGAGGGGGCAATATGACGCTGCTTTGAGAAACTGTATGACGTATAAGGTTCATTTCACCTGTGTAGGCACAGATTTACCATAGGCCTGAAATGGCAAATGAACAGAGAGTACTACAATATAAATAATAATAAATAATAATTATTATTAGTTATTTTGTTCATTGGTATATAATTTCTATAGGGAAAATCATGAAATTAATTTCCTAATGAAAAGCATTACCACTGCCTGGAATCCAAGTTCTTCAGTTCTCTTAAGAGCTTTGAATTTTTCTTCAGCAAATGGAAACTTTTCCTGTATGAGAAAGAAAGTCTTGATTAGACATAATATTTTCAAGTCTATAAAAGTTAATGCAGGAAACTGCCACACTGAGTGAACAGAAATTGTTATTTAAACTGTCAAAAAATAAATTATTTTCAACTTAAGTTTTGTTTTTGTGCTAAAGATTAACAAAGGCAAAAAAGGCACAGGTGCAAACAGCAATCTCCTACTAGCTGTGTTCTCGTTGCACCATCACCATTAAAAGGTGTAAGCTTTTAATTTACAGGGAAGCACTGCAAAGATGTGGTTGTGTAAGGCAGACCTTAGTGAAAACAGCTGGACACTTTTACCCTGTGGAGAGGAGATTAAGACGCTGCAGTTTGCTTTTAACTTTGCTCTTTCTCTCTTTGTGAAACAAACCAACAGCTGAGTTACTCTGAGGATGATGTAAGTAATCTGGGTACAAAAACAGTACTTGAGGCCATCTTCATCATCATCTCAACATGTTGATGTTCTGACTCATGAGTTCTACATCATCACACAAGTACTCAGTGCTTATTGGACCACATCCATCTTCAACTACACACCTGTAAAGTTTCATGACTGTATCTTGCACAGTTTTGACATTATCGCAGTGACAAAATCAATCCACCGACAGACAAACAGACAAAGTGTCTTTGTAAGGTGTTGGGCACCACATGCCACTAGAACAAACTCTACTGAGTGATGAACATCATTCTTCCAAAACATATTCCCTCATTTGGTGTTTTGATGATGGTGGAGGAGAGTGCTGTCTAACACACTCCAAATTCTCCCATAGGTGTTCAGTTGGGTTGAGATGTGGTAACTGCAAAGGCCATAGTACATGATTCTTTTTCATACTAATCAAATTTTTCAGTGACCCCTCGTGCCCAATGGATGGGAGCCTTGTCATCTTTTCCTTTAATTTGTCATCTGTCTGTATACACAACTGCCAAAGTGCTCAACTGCCTCTCTGATAGTTCCTGCTAAAGTAGGTGTCTCCAGGACCACATTTTGCCATGACGACACACATACCCGGATGCAAGGTGAAAACAATACCAGCCACGCCAGACCGATCACTGTAGCTAATTTCAGTTGGTAGTTTACCTGCGGTCCCAAGAGTTCATGCCAAGGTCATTTAGCAGCAGCCGGCAGAAGTAAAAAGGAGCTTTTGGTTCCTGGTGGGAAGGTTCCCTCTGGCAGGCGGCCCGAAAGCTTACATCAGCATCCCACCTCCGCACTTGCTCCTCCTCCTGCTGAGTCTGTCGGAGAATGGCCTCCAGGATGGCGCCCTCTTGCTCTATGTTCATGCCATGGGGTGAGGGGGCTGGCTGGTTGAGTTTGAGTTGTGGCTGGGGCAGGCATTCTGGGCTGCTGTGGCCAAGGTCCTCCAACAGCTTATCCAGAACATCTACGTCCTCCTCCTCACAACAGTCAGAGAGGGAGTCTGAGACTGAACAGTGATTCTTGTGTGGAGAGTAAGGCTGGTTTCTGCTGTGAGTGACAGTGGTAGTAGAAAGGGGACGGTCAACTGCACTAAAAACTCCCACATCGACAGAGTCTTCCTGGGTGGTGCAGTAGAGGATTGCACCGTCCCATGAGTATTTGCCTGAGATGTCCCGGACAATGACCCGCACTTGGGAAGAAGGGTGTGGGGGCTGTCCAACAGTGGGTGTCTCTGCAGGGATCTGCAGATAGGACACAAGCGTGCTGTCATTGAAGACAAACAGTTGCAGGTTTGGGCTTTTGAAGACCTCAGAGGACAGCTCGGACGACTCCACATATGGGTTGTCGTGATTTTCGCTCACTAGGCTGTGGAGCAGGGCGGGGCCACCGCTCAGTGGATGATGACCCAGATGGTTCACCAGGTGTGTCATGACCATCCGTGCCGTCAGAGGTATCAGCTCCATGTTCCGACGTCTTTTTTCTGGAGGCAGAATGAGGACAGGAAGATAAAAAACACTGAGACCATCTCTAAATAAAAATAAACGTGAGGATGTGTGAAACGTGATTAATGGTAAAAGTCACTGATGGGTTTAAAATATAGCTTCACGTGGTGTCTTTTATAATATGTCCAATGCAGACTTTGTTAACCATATTTCAAAAGCCCCATATTTGTGTGTAGACATGTTATCATCACTGTTAGCTCCTTTTACACAAAGCCAAATCTCATCTATGATTACTAACAGGGGTACTTTATTCATTTCTCACAATAGCTTGGCCAGCACACCTCTAAGTAGGTAGCATCTAATCATGAGAGACAACTTTGAAAAGCCCATTGAATCTTCTTACAATGGACAAGCATCGAGACTAGCCGAGTGCTAATGAGAACCACCGTCCTTACAGGCTTCTGAATAGGACTCTACTTAGTGAATTGCGTTTATGTAAATGCACAGGTTTTTACTCCCAAGTGAAAGGCATGCCGTGCTTTATTTTGCAGTGATGTGGGAAAAACAAGAAGATGCACTCTTGCATTGTGACAGTACTATCAATACCATCATCCCCCATCAAAGTGGAGAAAGCTCTTTAGAAAGCAGGCCAAGCTGCATTAGAGATGCACTGGCCCTTTGATGTGACTTGATCAATATGAGGTGGAGGCATGAATATAACTAGGCCGGCACTCTTTGGTTTGCCCTTTTGATAGTGTTTTGTTATTTCTACTAAGACTCGGTGCAGCTGTGCACCAAAAAGCAGAGGTGTGGTGAAATTTTCCAGGCAAAAGCTGCTGTTCACAAATCTCATATTGTTTCAGTAGATATATGCACTGTGTATTTGGGCTCTAAGGACTTTTCAGAAGTTGAGGACATGAGAGAGAGAGGAATACATTGCCTAATGGAATCACAAGGTCACAAAAAAGAAGAAAAAAAAAAATCACATTTTTATCAAAACCCCATAATGGGTCTTCTCTCTAGGGCTGAGCACTAATGTGAACATTCCATTCGCTGTGATGGTTGATTTCCTTTTCATACTTTTAATAAGATATTGACATTTAATGGAGAGGCTCCAAATGGATAGTCTACTTAGAGTTTGCTTTTCCCTGTAATCTTTTTTGGCTTCTTTAGGGGGAGAATATACGTCTCCGTGGTCAATAAAAAGTACAATGTACTGTATGGAGCTGAAATGAAGTAGTGCGATCAGAGATAGCCATCAGGGGATAAGCTGCCATGGTGACAGCTGAGAGTTACCAGTAACCAGTTTTTACTTTCTCATGCATGTGTACTCATGCATACAGGCACATGCACACATAGTATTCACACTATAAACCCAGCATAATTATTTTATCTGCCAACCAAGTGTAATCTGTGTACACACAGCAGGTATTAAAAGGGGCATCGGGTTGCCTCTACCCCTCCCATATGGATGCAGTGTTGGCACGCTTATGTGCCCTTACCTTCAGCTACGGTGAGCAGGTTGCCGAAGTCGGTAGTGGTTGTCTGGGAGGGTGGTGGCTCAAAGCTCTTAACCTGACCCAACATGAGGTCATAGTCAGGGGACAAGTCTGACAGGCTGAGGAGGTAGTGGCTCTGTTGGGTGTGCAGGTTGGAGCCGGATACACAGCAGTGCAGCACCTGAGGGACAGGAGAAGAGTGGTAGGACTAAGTGATTATGTTCAGATAAAACGTGCCTGGCTACTAATTCTACAGTATGACAGTGAAAGTGACTTTGATGACTAAACTTCGACTCTGTTGTGTAAAGACACTGTCCTGTTAGATATGATGGTGTCTGGCAAGACGATGTACAGTGACACTCCTGCAGGCCTGTCTCAGACTGACATGATCCAGGACCATATAAAAGGGGCATATATGGTCCATTTACATCATAACGCAATGGTGGAAGGGGAGGGAGAGAAGGAGAGAAAAGAGGGTCTTTATTGCCACTAATCCATTTCTCCTGTGATGTGTGAGTGTATCGATCTACATAACAGATGGCAGAGCATCCGTTGGCAGGGCTAGATAAGGCGCACTGGGGCAGTTGATTACAGCCATTGGACAGGTTTACACTGTTTGATTTAATTAAGACTTTATCCTTGTGCTCAGCTCCAACCACAAACATGCATGTTCAGCCACACACACACATGCACACAAATACAAACACACCTGTATACTGTATAATCTGGGTGGAGGTAAGGTGCTGCATACGAGGGGGTAAAACATATGCTTATGCTTGTATGTAAATGAGGGGGCCTCTCATTCAGAGTGGAGCAACTTGGGTAAAGCCATGCAAAGGCTAATCCCATTCAGTACACGCATACGCTCACACTTGGCTGAGAGACGCTCAGAGAGGCAGGCTGGCCCTGCCATCTGAAACAGTATTGTGTGGGGCAATGTAGACAGTATGTGGATGATTCTACTGAGCAGACCTCTGGGTGCATGGGGGAGGGATTGGAGGCTTGATGCTGAAAAGACCTGAACCAAACAGCTGCTACACCAAAGCCCCAAAGAGCTTCCTCTGTGGAGAGGTGGAGAGACAGAGAGGGAGGGGGAATACCCACGGCTGTGCTTGACAACTAAGTGACTGCACTTCGCATAGCAACAGTTCGTGGAAGGAAGTGCACAGTGAAACAAGCATCCTCTAGTTAGAGGGGCACATACTGTATGGATATATGAGTACACCCATGTACACACATAAATCAAATAATAACAATGTAAACAGAGACATACAGGTGTGCACACACACAGAACACGTAGACACACAAAACACATACATACACACACACACACACACACACACACACACACACACACACACACACACAAGGGTGGGGGGGGGGCAGCTGGCTGCTGAGGCAGGCAGAGAGAACAGATGGAGAAGCTTGAGCACAACTCCAGTGAACCAATGAGGTCTAGTGCAATGTTGTTTTTTTTTTTTTACAGCAATCTGCATGCTGCTAGTCACCAGAGACAAACTTTTCTCACTTTTTAGCTCAGGATGAAGACCACGACAACCTTATCATTAAATGTATTGTGCTTGTGTTTGATTGACTTAGGAGAGAGCGGATTTTAAGCTTTTTCAGTTTTAAATATAAAACTGTAATTAAAAGAAGATGAAGCATGCAAAATAAATGGACACCCAGCTACCTTGTCAGTGTCACATTTTGTTCAGTGATGGAATAAAAGGGAGGCGCTTTCTATTAGGGAGGTTATTCTCTGCCTGGTATAGAGAATAATTAACAGCCGACGTGTCTGTGGAAATGTATAGATTTGGGTGTTGATATTGCATTAATATTGTCACACCTTGTGATGCCTTGCTTGATATATTATTTCCAATGAAACCCAGAGGGCCCATGCCTTTTGTGTGCTGATAGACAACCAATCACACCTAATTGTCTTTGCTTTCATAGCAGCTGCAGTCGCTCTCATATTAAGACATATTCCATTCAAATCTCCAGGACAAGCGTTTATAGCCCGAGCTTATCAAGTGGACAAAGGGTCCTGTTTGAATAATTGGACCATTTCTTATCAGGGGTGACATCCTTACAAAGATCTGCCGTTGACCGCATCTGCCCAGACAGGAGGGTATGAATAATACCTCATTCATTCGTGCCTAAAGCTTGGCCCTCATCCTCAGGGTCAGACCATAAAATAAAGGGTTAGAGGGACAAACAAAGAGAAATAGATTGAATACTGAATATTTTGTCTGTTTTAAACAATTGCAATATATGCCATTACAAAGGAAGTTGTAAGGATTTCCTGCATATGATAAATGCCAACCGCCTGCATCAGCTACAGCAGGAGCTTCTATGCTGTTGTGCCACTATAATGTTAAATGAGGCATAGTCATGAGGTCACTGTGGAGGTGAGTCTAATTAAAGTGGCAAGCCCATGTGGTGGGTGTGGGGGGTGGAGATATCAAAGCCGAAAGTTGTTACGGGCAACAGCCTATGTATGTTTCAGAGGATATTGGAAAGCAGTCAGTGGTTAAAAAAAAAAAAAAAAAAAAAAAGTGGGGGCTTTCTTCAGGTCTGTTTGTTTGTTGTAACTGAAACTCTCAGCTGCCATGGAGGTTACCCACCCTGTAGATGTAGTCCAGAAGCGGGGCCTTGTGGGATGTGCGGTCGTCCACCGAAGGCATGGTGATGGGTTCCAGCAGCAGACTCAAAGGAACGGCCATGCACCAGTCCAACAGGCAAAGCAGCAGCGACACCATCAACTGAGGAGGTAAGGAAGAAGCGTGAGGTCCCTTTTACAGTTCAGTTAATCAACATCAAAACAAAAAAAAAATGTAATATTAATAAAGCAAAAAAGAGAGGGACTGTTCCAGAGAGACAACAGGTAACAGATGAGAGCTGCAGAGATAGAAAATGCAGGGATAGTGAAAAGTAAAGAGGAAAAAAGGAGACAACAAAGCACTTCAGTCGAAACATTCCTCTGCAAATGCACCATTCCAACATGATAGATCAAGGGCCTTTAGATCTCAGCCATTTCATGTCCCCTCCTTTCCAACATGTACCTTTTTGTCCGCTTCCACTGTTGAGTGCTCTGCGCTCGGCAACAAAAAGGCTATTGTGGCCACAAAGATCTGTATTGGGAGAAAACAAGGAGAAAGATAATTGGATGACACACTCCTATTCATCAGCTGAGTCAGGGCTGTGTGCTTAAATGGATGTAATGCCAGAGGATGTAGAGTGTGTACTGTATATGCATGAGTAATACTAAGACTTGCATTTAAAAGTTGAAGTGACTTGACACATGAATTTCTAATCTTCCTGATGTGTTCTCACAAGCCACTAATGGCTACTGGGAAATTTAACTGTGTGTGCAGGTGTGAGTATGTTAATGTTACCTCAATGATTTTCTTCGGCAGAGTGGACTCCAACCTCTTGAGGTGTTCCCAGTGAGAAATGAGCAGCTGAAACACGTCACAGGCTACCTGAGCCACCGCTTTGTTCCCAAACTGAACACGCAAACAAGAGAACAGGACAGGAACTGAATGACAGTGCAGAGGACTTGGCTTCTTGAACAGTGAGTAGCAACAACAACATAGAAAAAATGTAGATACTAAGCCAGTATTTTTCTATTATACATGTACATTCCTGAGGCAAAACACTTTGCAAGCAAAACAACAGTTCACTGGAAAGCCCATTATGCGTTCTGGCTGAGTGAAAATATCCATAACTCAAACTTTTTGTGGTCACTGGCCATGATCAGATTTGCTTTCACTAATAATGTGATTTTTATTGAGAGCAGTTCTTCCAAGTTTCAAAATGAAACAGAGAAACAGAAACAGAGTTGCTCAGAGAAATCCAAAGCTCATGAGCAAATCTGTTTATTTTTTTTCTGTTTATTTCCATGCAACCACAATTATGCTTGCTGGCAATCCATTTCTATTTAAACAAGGTTAAAAGGCAATAAAAAAGCATGAAAAATATACATGATGTGCCTGTGTCTGTCTCAAATTTTGTAACTGCATAACTATACACAGAGTAAATAATACACATGCTTCTTACACTGCTCATGATCTGTCAGAACAGATACAAAAGCTCTAAACAGAAACTGGATCTTTGAAACTTTGAGCTGCTCAAATGGTTCAACGGTGAGTTCATTAATTAGGATATAAATGGAACAATATGTAGAAACCTGATACGTACACTGAGCTGCTTGTTGCTTGTAATGCTGACTCCCCACTTAAATAAACAACTGTAAAAAAAATTATTACTAATGTTGATGCTGTTGATGTTGTCTTTACAGCCAGGACAACAACATAGACAAATGTCAAAAACCGGACACAACTCCATTCATGCACATAAGCACACAAATGACATATATACGACGTGTCTTGACTGTGTTGTGTGTTCTTGAAGCAAAATATTTATTACTTGCCAATTCCCAGACTTGGAAGTTATTACATTTTTCTTTCAGACTTGCCTGAGAGTTGCACTTATAATTTGCAAGGATCGTTTATTCTACACTTTCCTTTCTTGGATTTAGGTCACCTAAATACCTGAATTCTGAGGAGGGAGGGGGACGTTGCTGGTCGAAGACGGGGAGGAAAAGTTTAGGCACAGACTGACTGTAACAGAATTTGTAGTAATTTCCCTTAAATTTAGATTTTCACTTACTGTGCAGATAATCAGCATAATTTCATTTCCACTTCAAACCATGGCTCATTTTCTCCAGACTCATTGGAGTAAAGAATTGAGCTACTGACAATTTTCTTTCAAATGTTGATTTCTTCAGTGATTTGAAATTCTTTGTGGAGAAATAGAATTTCCCATTTCTTCCAGCTGAATGCCTCTCAACATGTAACAAGGGCAGACAATGTGGGGAGTGCAGAAATGGCCAAACACAAAAAGGGGCCCTGAGAGTTCAGCACCTGCTTTTAGAAAAGAGACTCTCAGTGCCACTCTTCCCCCTAGATCCCCCACCCAGCCTATACCCTCTATTTTGGGGCTGGCTGAGTCTGTGTGTCAAGTTGTACAGGGGAGTGATTACTGTTCCATTAGAGAAAGGGGGGTTGCTCGAGCAGGAAGCTGGGAGATGTAGCTGCTTAAATTGGCCCACATCTACTGAGAGCGAGCCGCCTGGAAATTACGCCACCGCCCCAAACCCTTTTCCATGAGAAAAAAAAAAAACAAACAGCATCCACTGGTTCTCTGCATCTCTTCACTCTGAGAGAAAAGAGGGCTCTTCCAAAATATACCCATGAGTCACATCACTGGACATTTTATTCTCACACCCTTCCTCTCCTCGCTATGCAGACTGCAGTCCTCTCATGTAATCAACTATCATTTTTAGTTAGACTGTGGCTATCAGTGATTTTTTCTATTCAGAAATTTGATGTGATGACGCCTCAGATGGTCACTGACCTTTAGTGTTACTCCCAAGACGTTGATGGCATCTTTAACCTGCTGGTGGATGTTCTTTTGCATTAACTCCTCACACACCCACAGGCCCAGACTGCATACAGCAATGCATCTGAATGAAAGTGGCAGAGAGTGACAGACAAACTTATGTATATTCAAGAATTTGAAAAGCTGAAATGTTTTCAGAAAAAGATCCTAATATTAAACTAAATATTTTTGGTAAATAGGCTTTAAAAGCATTGCACATATTCTTAGTAAATGCTTGGTATCCATTAGTTATTCAAATTGTATTACGCATACACAAAAGGTATGTAAAAACACATTCATATCAAACTAGATAAAATAAATGAAGACTAAGCAATGGAACAAAAAAATTATATTTCTAATCATACCTGGCCCCTTCACAGTGTTCCTTTGTTGCTGTTTCCAGCAGGATGTTGACCAGATAATCCTGAATGACACAGACACAACACAATCTAGTCCATCCACTTAACTTAATGTTAAATGCAGAGCAACATATATTTAGATCCACAATGCAGTATGCAGATTTTCTTATGTGTCATTACCATATTCCTAGAGTGGCACATGTTTACCTTGATATCCTCATTGCCTACAATAATGTCATGAGAGCCAGGCACATGCTGCAGCACAGGAATCTGAAGGTAAAGGTTGGGGAAACAGACCAGAGAGCCCAGGACTGTCTGAGCCTCCATCCTTGGAGCCTGCCAGAGACGAGAGAGAAAAAAAAAGAAAAAGTCAGGAATTCCCTAAAGCTACATGAAAACAACCCACTTCCTGGAAACAGGAAGAACACTATCCGGGGAAAAAGGATTGGAGGGATCGAGCAGAATTAATTTAGCCTTTATTCATGATTCTGCTGATGTTCAGCAGAATCTCTTGACACATGGTAGGCGTTGGACAATAACATGACTAATTAAATGCGTGATGGAAGCAGCTCTAAAGCAGATTGTACATGTTGCACCTGATGAGTTGCTGTTACTGTGAAAATAGATAATAAATCTATGTTATGAAAGATATGAAATTATCTGGCAACCAAAACAATAAATAACAACACATATAGATGTCCATCAAGTGTCATATTGTGTAAAGAACTTAGAGACAGTCAACATTAATTTGCCAGTGTTTAGGTTTAAAACTGTGCACACTATCAATGAGTTAACAGAGGGTGGTTGTCTTATTGGTCTAACAGCATAATCACTCCTAATTGTTCCAGATCAAGTCACAGTCCTCCAAAATGTTCACATCACAAGCCTGTGTGTTCATGTGAATGTACAATAGCACACAATTCTAAAAGATTGTGCATAGGACTCGCAACAATCACCTGTTTGCATTTGTTTTATGGCATTGCTCACTATGTTTAAAGACCATAACTACTGCAATCACATTTAGGTTTCCACAGTTAATTAAACATGACTAAGAATCTTATTAACACTTTAAATGTTATGCTCTTATGCATTTAATGACACGTTTTCTATTCAAGCTGCCTGAATAATCACAGTAATTTGTTTCATCTGTAAAAATGGTCTTTGCTTCCAAAATACAGCTGCAGACTTTGGATTTAAATATTTAAATTGTTCAATAAACTTACTTAGGCAACAAAAATGGAGGAGTAATTGTGATGAATGATTGAATGGCAATACCGATCGAAAATCATTTGCGTTTTCTTTTTAAGTCATAGTTGCTCAGTTCTACATTAAAGTACAGTGAAACACGAGTTGTATTAAGTTTTTCCACATTTGCAAATTGCATTGTTGATTTTCTTTCCTCCCAAACAACTGAAAGAGGCATCAAACATTTGTGTTATTTTGTGTTTTATTTCTGCGAGAATTCACAAAACAATTGGAACCTTTCAATGTCAAAAAGCTGCAAAATTCAAGAAAATCATTACAGGGGCACATTGTTATTCATAGAGCTATCAGTCACAAGTGAGTGAATGAATGTGACAGTTACTGAGGATCAACTGTTATTTGGGGAAGTTTCTTTAATTGTTGGCTCCACAACAAATACTTTTCAGTGACATTTCTCAAAACATCTCTCAGTATGTACAACATTCAACAACTCTTTTAGACCCCAGTTTGATTCATATAATAAATGTGAATGTTAAGAGTGTGTTTGAACCTCTGGGGAGAAGGAGCTGAGGACGCATGCAGCAGCAGTGATGAAATCTCCGAGCAGCATGGTGAAGCCCGGCAGGCCGAGGAAGAAGAATCGAGGGGAGCAGGAGCGGATGATAGTGTTCAAAACATCCTGATGACAAACAGACACACATATACAAAATACATTTTAATAGGAGGTAAGACATTTCCACATTAAATTTTTCTGTGGAAAAAAATTTAATGTATTTTGTTTGACTTGACATAGGAATAAACCATTACCCACCAGTACCAAAACTGAATATCTTTGCACTACTCCAGTTTATTTATGGTAAGATGGGATTTCTGCATTTGGTATGAGTGTGGGGGAGCAGTAGCAGAAATATTTTGTAAATGGGCCACCATGTGAGAGACATGGCAGGGAGAAAGCTTTTTCCTCCAACAGGTAAGCTAAGCATTTTAAGTGTGAGGAGAGTAAGGCACTCAACAGTACATGTCACTAAAGGACAAAAAAAAATAAAACACAGTGGGAAAGAAAGAAAGTTAGCGAGAGAGAGAGAGAGAGAGAGAGAGAGAGAGGCAGCAGATGGATTGCTAACAGAGGATAAGAGGGAGAACAAAAGACCTCAACTTTCACGAGTCACCTGTATATATACACACACACAGGCAAACCTGTAATTAAAGCCAGAGACAACGTATTGTTTTGCCGAGGTACAGGCGGCTCAGTGGCAGATGGGTGCTCTTTCAACATTGACATATGCTGTGCTGCAGAGGGCTTCGCACAAACTGCTCAAGTATGTACACTGTAATACCATGCTGGACGAGAGCATAAAAGGCTGTTAACAGGTTTTCCATCCTACATTTAGACAGTAATGCTGCAGCAAAGGGGTTGATTTACTTTGCAAAACACACACACACTGGTATGAGAATTCAGCATCTCAGTAAGGGAAAAAGATTGTTCTCTGTCTTATCTGAGACATGCGTGTGCATATTTGTGTACAAAGGCAAGGTCCAGGCTAGAAACACCTGCCTTCTTGGCCATAAACTTGTGTAAATCGGACAGTTCAAACATCAGCCTGTTTCGAGCTGAACCGAAGGGCACCTTTGCAAACATGCAAGCACACAATTTCTCTCTCAATCTGACACACACACACACGCACACAAACACACACACGCGCACACAAACACACACACACACACACACACACACACACACACACACACACACACACGCACACACACACACACACACACACACACACACACACACACACACACACACACACACACACACACACACACACACACAGAGTACCACCTATCTCTCTGTGACATTAATCACCTGAAGCTTTGGTAAATAGGGAATGCAGGTGAACAAAAGAGGAATAGAATAAACACACAGAGGCAATAAATAGGAAGTCAAACCAACACTGCATGTGGAAAATTGGTGGGAAGAGCTTTAGGATTGAGGGCCCATTTTACCCTCATTTTGTTGGTAATTGACCTCTGAAGCATAATGTGCGGTGCAGTCAGAGGTAATTAGCATGTAACAAACTGTTGCTTGATTGCCTGAAAAGAGCATTTTAGAGGAAGCCACAAATGTAGAATGCAAAGTGTTTTCTATTGTATGTGTAAGTAGAGGGAACCCTATTTGAGGTGTGTGTATAGAAATGGGAATTTAGCTCTGCAAGTGGTTCTGTGTTGGCAGTAGGAATGGCTCCTGCATCAACAAAAGGTGCATTAACGTAACTATGAACAGAGCTACCTCAGGTCTTTTCATTTGGCCTCATCTCCGGGAAAGCACACACTGTCCACCTGCCGGCCCCCGAGGTGATAAGGTTCACTGCAGCATTACATCACTCCACACAACATCGGAAAGTTTTAGTCTCATTTACTAAACATGAACGTTTCCAGTTTATCTGGAAATCACTATCACTACTATTACTACGGACATGTGGGGTTTTCCCCTCACAAGCTGTTAGAGAGGGATAAAACCCAGCTGCATAACTATAAGGTGAGAGGTTTAATTAGCGGACATGTTTGTGGCTCTGGGGTCAACTGTCACATTTTAATCTGGCAGCATATTAATTATACAAGACCTCTCTTCTTAAAGTGCAAGTAGTTTTACTCTGGAAGCACAAGTGAGAAAAACTCTTTTTCCACTTGTACCACACATTATTATAATTTAGCACATTATACATTAGTCCTTGTGAAGTTAACTGTTTTTAAGTGTATATACATGACCGATGCATGCTTTATTCACCTATGCAAAATTAACAGTTGCAATAAAAGAAGCTATATTTGTGTACACTTCAAAAAATATGCTGTTGACTACTGAAGTCCAGACAGTGAACCCATTAGATAGATTACTGCTATTGTGCTACGTTCATGCCTTTGTGAGACCAGTGACCAGAGAATGACAGACAATCAGGACAATAGCCCTGACCTTGGCACCCTTGTCAGTTGGAAGGAGAATCCCTCTGAGGGAACTGTCATTTTCCTTTAAGCTTAGTTGATTATAATGGTGAGGATTTACACTGGGATTCCCCTCCTTGTCTACAGAACGCTGCTGTTTAACACAGATTTTATTACCTGATAAACAGGCAGTGACAGGAAATGCTCAACCTGTAATCCCAGAGTGTTTTAAGATACAAATGTGCATTACAAAATATATCTAGAAAACCAAAGAGAAACACAAACTATATAATTCACATCAATTTCATTAAACATAACACAATCAGATTACATAATTTGCAGACCAGTCTCCACTGATGACTACTTTAATTATTTAAGATAAGTGAAGAATTATTGTATGAAAAAAGTCAGACTTGAAGAACATATGTAGATGATGTATTTGTAAAAGTATATGTTTTTTGCTTTTTTCGGGTGAGGTGGGGGTTGCGGGTAGAGGCAGAGAGGAAGGAGGAGGGGTATAGTAAGAGCCACTTTCTTATGTTAAGCAGGCGTGCGGCTGTCCTCTATTGTGTGGCGTGAGGACTCTTTTCTCCGGCCAATTTGAGCATGCTTCAGTGGCCAGCCTGGCTCTGGCCCCCTGACGCATTATACAGAGCCACAACAAAAGCTGGAGAATGTTGCCTCGTCCCTCTGTGTGCCCCCCTCATTGCTCTACTCTGCACTACGTTCCCCAGGCTCCCCTCCCGCTCCTTCACACACTCACATACACACAGGCAGGCAGGCCAGCCTACTCTGGGCCCCTGGCCGACATGTCAGTCTAACGGAGCGCGACAGACGTCAATCCTTAATTAATCACGTATACGCGGCAGGGGCTCAAAACATTATTTAACGACATGGAAAACATTCTAACAAGCTTGTCGCACTGCCAAGGTGCAATAGAAACCCAACCAGGAGGGCACACTCACACGCATGCACGCACACACGCGCACACACGGGCACACACGCGCACACACACACACACACACACACACACACACACACACACTTTTATCCCTGTCCTTTGTTTTGGGGCACTCCATTCATTTCTACTCAGCTTCGTCTGGAAGGAATGGAGCAAGGCCAGATTTAAATACGAGGAAAGGTGTGGCCAAAGAAGGTGGAAGATGCCAAAGCACAGAAGCATTCTCCATCACCACTGGTTGGCAGGCAGTTTTCAAAACAGAGCTTCAACATTCATAAATTGCACTGCTCCCATCTGACCCCTGTCCTCCTTCCTGTCAGTAATAGATCTCAAGTTGATCACAAATACCTCTGATTCTTTCTGACACATGATCAGGCACACACACTCGACAATAAGTCAAGTTTTCCAAAATTACACTGAAATCACCAGATGAATTGGAATCACCCAGTCATGACAAAATGACACATTTGGAAAAAGTAGATGGAAAATTGGCAACTACAAAAGCTGTTTCCCAGTTTTTAGATATGGCCTGTGCACGTCGCATGAGTTTGACTGGTGCGCCATCTAGTGCTGAATAGAAAAACAACAGGCAACTTCACTGAGGCGCCACCTGCTGTCTGTACCTGGTCATCACTGGTGAAGCCCTTGTGCATGATGTAGTAGAGGTGCACCAAGAAATCACTGTTGGGGAGCACATCCTGGTGCCTGGTCATCATCTCACAGATCAGTTTGTAGGCCTGCAGCTTGCCGGCCTTGTATTCTGCTGGCAACATGGTGGCCTGAGGAAGAGAGTTTGACATGTTTAACATCTATTACGCTGCAGGAGTGCTTCAGGAAGTTGATACATTTCATTGGTGGGAACTTATCATTGGAATCAGCTGCAAACAATGTGAATTCAGTGCAACCACAGCTGCTGTTCTCTATCAGTGCAAAATTTGAGTTTGACTATAATATGCAACATTTCTGTTTTTATCGTTTTTGCCGGAACAGGATGATTAGATATGGCTACTTTAGTGACAGTGTCTGTCACTGCTAAAGCTAGCCATTCAGTCCTGTTTATTATTTGATACTGCTGCTGGAAATGTAATCATATTTCTTCCTGAGCATTAGAGGATTCTCTCAGGTAAGCAACTAGCAAATATTGTTTACAAAAGCTGCTGTAAATGCACTGATAAACCTGGAGCAAGTTTAATAACTATAGAGTTTAATGAAAATACTTAAAATTATTATATTCAGGACATTAAAGCAGACAAACAGCAGTATATCTGCTCAACTAAAATAAACTTTTAATCTGACCCTCAGTTCCTTAGTTAGTTCCTTAGTTTTGCACATTGTTCATATTATCTTATCCCATCCTACTATCTCTAATTTAGTCATTGTGAATGCTGTTTTCTGAATGTTGCCTGCTGTGTCTATGTGTTGTTGATACCCTGAAGAGCCAAGAGGCAAGCATTCGGAGTGGCGGGATGAAGGCAGGCTGGGGAGGAGAAGACTGGTTGTCCACACTGATCCCAAGGTTGTCCCGGATCTGTAAGCACACATTTAACTTTAGTCACTGAACACAACCTTTATGCATGATGTTTGTAATGATCTGCGTTTGGGAAAGTACAGGATAAGGTTTTGAAGGCCTCTGTTCATGCCAACAAACTGTTTGTAACAGTAGGTGTGTATTATATTCTCATTTTAGATGCTTCATAGGTGGGTGATTTTTGCCTCTCCACCTACCTTGGCCAGCTTGTGCCAGAGCTCATAGAGATAGGAAAAGACCTTGGCATGGATTTTTGGGCAGCGGATGCTGTTGACATCTCCCAGGATACCCAATATCCTCCTCCAAAGGACGAAGGCTGAATCAGCATGCCAACCAGTCAGGGTCCCGCCAGCAATGATGCTGACATCATCAGCGAGACACTCACTACTGTCTGTATAGTGAGAGAGAGTGTGTGGGGAGGTTTGAGTTACAGAATAAATTATTTGGTAACACCAATGTTTGTAGCTGCCAAAACCTAACGCAAAATGAACCAAATTTAATTTCATTGAGGATATGGGATTCAGTCAACAAATGCATAACACATTTTAAAAGAGCATTTTAAATTTTGAGACTTGTTTGCTATGCATGAAATATTAATAAACCCTCAAAGCCGTCCTGTCATTGTCTGAGCAGTTGTTGACCAAATTCTTAGTCACTGTGCATTTTCCCAAATGCATCAAAGTACTAAGATCTTTGTTCACTCAAACTGATCAAAGCACTCAAACACTTTTGGGAAACAGGCAAAAGTCACATGCACCATCCAAACGAACTCAGACTGAACTGTGGGAGGACAGTGCCACCCAGTGGGCAGCAGAAGAATGATGGGAAGGACAGGGAGTGAAACGACACAGAAATGTAAAGTGTATGTAGCAGATCTGAGGTGATTTTTTTTTTTGGAGTTTTAGTAACATTTAAATTAAGATGTAAAGGAATGAGTTTCTAATTCCAAGGAAAACAATAAAATATTGTCATTTCATATATTTAATTTGACTGAATGATCAAATTAAAATTTGATTAAATTGATCTGCAAAATGGGAGAATGAAAAAAGGAAAATATGTAAAAGTAGCGGAAGGAAGGTAAGACTTAAAAATGTAGAGCAATATAGAACATGGAGAGTCAATGGGAAATGAGGACTCTATGGTCTATATGATGAGTAGCAGCTAGGGAGCAGTACCCAAGTGGTGTGGCATGTGTAAGACAGACTGATGCATGGTGTCGTCCAGGGGGCAGTCCCGCGGACACTCTGTGTGCACCAGCAGGGCTGGTGAGGCGGGGGGGTTCTGGGGGTAGTGGTAGTGGTTGTGGTGGTGGTAGGACGGGGGTGCAGAGTGGGGAGGGAAGGCACACTCAGGACCTATAAAACGACAAGGGGAAAGGGATATAATTGGGTTTGAAGAAGGGACTGCGGACAAAGGAAGCGTGACAGCTTCATGATGATCACAATGCAGGACAACACAAACAAAGGTCCACATACAAGGGTGAGAAGGGAAGAGGGGCAAAAACAATTTCTCCATCAGTAATGATGGAGGGGGGAGAGAGGGGGTAATCTAAAAGCTGAAGGGTTTAAAGTTGAGGAAATATTTTGATTATTTCCAAATGAGAATTTAGACATCTACCAATAACAAACATTACAATCCAGTCTTAATCAGTCCGTAGCCCACAGGTCACTTTCCCTTCACAAAATTCACCTACAAGCTGTCAGCAGGTTTAAAAGATTTAATGGGTTAGTACTGTAGAAGATACTGACAGGCAGCTCGAGTTTCCTTACCAGGTCACTCTACCTGGCCATGACTAATCCATCAGGGGTGAGGTTATTGGAGGCACCAAACCCCAAGCTGGATGGTACACACCTCAGATGAACTCTTTCAACTAATTTTTACTGAATGTTTACATAGGATCGATCTATGCAATTCAGTGCTTTTATAAAGAGGACAATCTATCTTCAACGAATAAAACTGTTTCACACTGAACACCAAAATAAAAAAGCTAAAAAAGGCAGGCCGCTTTTAACCTTCCCAGGCTATTTTTGTTATAATTAATTTAATGTTAAAATCAAGGTCAGCCCATGTACCCTGAAAGTTGACTGAAGATTGTTGTTAGCAATGATATTAACAGACATTATAATATATGAACATCAAGAGCAAATACAAGTGGAAGAATATCTGTTTCAGGTGCTCAGGGTGAGTTCGTATCAGTTCCAATACCTGCTAGAGCCTCATTGTGGCTGAGCAGCAGACTCCCCTGGCTCTGGGGGTCGGTCGTCACGTCCATGTGGGCTGACTGTGTGGATTGAGTATCAGCCTCCTCATCAAAGGCCTGCCAGGTGACCTCAGCTTCATTGAGGTAGCCATTGGATGTCTCACTGCTTATACTCTCACCTGGGTAGAGTGAGTGAATGAAGTGGATAAAGGACATAAAAAGATTAATCCACAGGATTATGAGATGGAAGGTACTTGCTGTGTGAGGAAAACCATTAATCCTCACGAAGAGTGGGCTTTATATGATATTTCAATGTTTGATTTAACTGATGTATTTTAAATTTAAAAATTACTATTCTTTATATATATATATATGTATATATTAAAATACAGCTGCACTCATATCACAATGGATAATTTTAAAGAAATAATTAGTGATATAATATACTACTTTTCTCTCTGAGCTTGGGCCTTGTGTAGTTTGTGTGTCCCTCAGTGTTGCACTCTGTCTCAGCTGAACTGCTGCTCCGCTGGATAAGGATCTAGAAATACAGAAATAAACATATTACCCATAACATTACCCATACAAGAACATAGACTTGTATGGGTAAAACCCATTTCATTAATTTTACATAATGCTATTGTACAAGATGATTCTTCTCACCACTGGTGGCTCATTGCTTTCTCTCCTGCCCTCAGACGTCCTGCTGTCAGAGCCACAGGAAGTAGGGGAGTACTCTCTCTTCTGTGCTGAAGTGCAACAGGGAATGTTATAAATGGGCAGCGAGACCAAAATTATCTTAGATAACAACTAAACTTTTTTTTACAATTCTTTTTCTCTGTTCATCAATGAGCACTGTCCCCATCAAATGAACTAATGTAACAAATGAAAATGCACCAGGATCCATAAGAGAATACACCCCGTATTCCCCATATCCTCTTTGTAGGTGGTAAACAACATTGATTAAAAATCATCTCCAGTCAACCTAATAAAAGAGATGTAGAGATTCCATATATACATCTGATTCTTCAGATGTCACATTTCAACATATATTTTAATATGCACTATATTGCAATATTCATCCATCAAAGGATTGCCTTGTCTAGACCCCACCACCACTAACTGGCTCACACACCTGGAACATCCAACCTGAATACTGAATATAATAGGTGTAACAAAGACTGATTTATTGCGGGGCTACTTTATTGGATTGCATTAAATTATAAAGTGTGTAATTAATAAACTGGCAACTCAAATGGCAAATTACTTTTTTCCCTTTTCATTGACTTAAATGTTTACGTTTAAATGTAACTCAGCTAAATCTCATCTTAATACAATCCTGACGTCAGGAGAAGGGTGTTACTTCATTACAGAGGTGAAAAATGTGGGGAATTAAAATTATTTTTTGTTTGCATTTACCTGGTAAAGTATCAGACAGTTGTTGGGTGATGTCGGAGGTGCTACTGCTACGTGGCAGAGGGCTATCCCCGCCTCCCAGCTCCTCCTCTCCCCCACATTCTGACAGCTGGCACTCTTCCACATCTGCCAGGATAAAAGAGGGCACAGTTAAGACAGTGCCACAAGACTGAGACTAGAAGACCAGAAATCTTAAAATGGAAACACAGCAGGATACTGTATGTCTTTTGTTATCTTTGGGGGTTTGCAGGCACAATGTAGATGAAGCTTTGATACATTCATGAGAACATTAGGGAGGAATTGCGACATGCACACATGCAGTGGTGAAGCAGACATACTCTTGCTACAGATTGTATTTCAACTCACAAGACAGTCTTAAGTTAAAACATAAACCTTTGCTCCAAATACTGTCACAACAGACATAGAAACTGGCAGAATGTGACAGATAGTAAGGTGGAGGGAAAGGTAGGACGGAGGTCACAAGCACACAAACACATGCAGCTCTCAGAATACACTTTACCTGAGAGTCTGTGAGAGCAAGCAGAGTTACCAGAAGAGATACCAGGCAAGAAAGAGCTCACAGTGTGGAGCAGCATAGGAACACTTTTAGTAGTGGGCAAAGCCTCGTATAGATGGACACAGTTGCTGATGGACTGGCTTCTCTTAGCTTCCATCAGGGGAAGAGGAAGAAGAGGAAAAAGAAAGAGACAGTGGAAACAGAAAAGAGGTAAAGGGAAGAAGACAGTATTCAATAACAGCAAAGCATTGAATGCTGCAAAGGTGATTCCATTGATAAATACATTCTTGATCAGGTGCGGAGAGTAAATAAAGCACAGAAGTGCTAGAGATTGACCTCAATATCGTCTACATCAGTGGTTGTTGAACTCTGAATATGAGAGAAATTTCATACAATATTACAACTGTAGTGTAACAAACAAAAAACAAAACAAAAACCAAAAAGAACCAAAAACCCCCCAAAAAAGATTGAAACCAAACACAGAAACTGTAAATTCACAACAGCGGGAATACAAGTTTATTGGTTGCATTGACACTCAGTATTTCTATGTATTGCACCATCACACTGAGATTTGTTAGGACTATAGATTCTTGAGAGGGATATCAATATTTGAGGGTATAAAAAATCTAAAACTATTATTTTTACATAAAAAACACAAACAGACAAGCTTTAAAAAGATCCCTTCAATTTGTTTTTGTAAAGAACTGTTAAAAACTGAGTACTGAGTGGGACATTTAACTATTTCTTTTATTGGCTGAAATATAGGCCAAAACCACATCAACAATAAGCTAATATTGGCTGATAAGTTGGTTCAGCTGGCTCTAATTTAGACCGGTCCTCATCTCCCTCATCCCATGTGCTTTCTAGAGCTGCACCATCAGTCAGGATGATAAATTGGCTGAGATCAACTTACCGCAAATATATTGAATTGGTATACATGTTAAGATCACAGTACAAAAAATTTCAGCATCACTATTACATAGTTTGTCCACCAGAAAACACAAGTTAATTTTTCAAATGTAAAATGTTGCGCTCCGTTTGCATTTTGGTCACAATTAATCTAAGAGATCCATATCAAGATTGCTTGTTAAATATACTTGTTCATCAGCCACTACTACATACTACAGATTTTTCAAATGCACATATATTGATATCAGTATCAGCTTTAAAAATTTAGTATTTTCTTTTTGGTCAAAATGTATTATTTTGTTATTTTATAGACATAAATCGGTAAAGGTAGCCCCAATAACCATCCCAGCAACGGGAGAGTGAGAGCTCATCCAACTGGATCTCTGCAGTTGTAGAAGCTTAATGAGCACCATAATGAAATATCCAGCCTTTTTTCTCTAATTATCAAGACAAGATCTCGGAACAATATTAGTTTGTATTTGCATGCATAAGTACAGCCAAGTTTTGACAGTTGTCAATGCTGAGGCATTGCCATTGTGTCTGGATAGCACTTCAGGGTTAATCTCAAAGAGAGCAATGAAAGAGGACAGTTCTATTCTCTGCTTTCAGCACACTTTAATTATGCCTTTTAGTGAGAGAGATACATCGTCTCTGCTACAGCCCGCCACTGCTTCCTATTTATGCATATTAATGAGCATTAATTACACTCTTAATGAAACTATCAAAAACTGCCATGCAATTGATGTGTGGGTCTTCTCTTGAGGAGTAGGGAGGAGGGCTGTCGGGCCTTTGAAGATCAATGTGGGAGAAATCCAATTAGGCCAAAGAAAGGGAAGGGAATTTGAAGCCGTAGTCTTTAATGTCCATCTTTGCTTACACACGGATACATATAAACAGACTAACAGAATAGGTGCATAAACATACACACGAGATGCATAATAGATGTGTCAGTGCGTGCATGCGCGCGTGTGCGTGCGCACACACACACACACACACACACACACACACACACACACACACACACACACACACACACACACACACACACACACACACCCCTTCTAAGACTTCATCCTTTAGGCACAAATACATCTGCTCTAAGCTCAACAAGCTCGTCATTTCAGTACGTTGGTGGTAATTGGAGAGGCGTACGGCAAGGAAAAGAAAAAGGATTGTCTCTGTCTTTTATCCTCCACATTAAGATTCTGTCTAGACAAAATTAAGACAAGCAAGACAGGCACTGCAGCTAGTTACTACACTACTGCCTCCCAGCTCAACTTATAATTAGCCTGCCACATCCCCATCAGATAAGGGGTGTTTGCTGTGTCTGAATTGAGCTAATGACAATGAGTGTCCAAAGCTGGCCTCTGACATGGCATCGAGGGATTGTGCTGTATGCCTGCAATTGAGCTGACATGGAAACATGTTGACATTAGCCAGTGACATATGAAGGAAACAATGGGGGCCATCTGCTGGTCTCTTTGTCTTTGGTGTTGGGCCTTTCAACGACACCTGGGCTTGTGTACACATGGACCTGTCTGAAGGCTTTCACATGAAGTAAATACGTTTGATAAACCCTATGGTCTGACGTTTTGCTCCAGAGGGTTATCACTATTGTGTTGTTGGCCCACACAAAGCCAGAAGATTAATACAGCACGGATATAGAATAGTATATGCATCTGGAGGGACTTATAATAGCCATCCCTTTGTATTTTATTTTTGTCCACTTTGATGGATTAGTAATATACAGCTAATACGACAATACTGTTATCACTAGTATTACAGGTACTTACCAGAGGCCTTCTGTCTGACGTTGTTTCGGGCCTTCTCTACACCAGGAGCTCCTGATGTAGTGGCCGAGCGAATCCTCATGGGCTCTTGAACCGCTGGCCCGCCCTGCTCCCCCTGGTTCCTCCAACTCAGTGAGAAGGAACGTGCCACTGCTGCTGCCTTCTGGGAGTCCTGGATCACTCCTGACATGCAGAGAAGAACACTTGCTGAGTACAGAGGTGTCAGTGTACATTGTTTATTAAGAATCAGATTTTTATATTTGGATTTAACACCACCAACCTCCACTGATATGCAAGACAGTTCTCTGTGGCTTCAAGCAACACAGAGTTTATATAGTATAATGGTATTTCAGACCTTAAAAAAACACCTTTGACTGTAAAGTTGCTGTAGAGGCTGTCTACATCAACTAGCATGTAGTGTGGGTATGATCTAAACTAGTAAGAGCTCACTGTCAAATACAGACTTAAAAGCACCAGTGGGTAGAATTTGAAAATGTCTTTGTGGTGACTACAAGTGGTAGTATAAAAAAAAAAAAAAAAAAACACACTCTGGCAGACAGCAGGGCACACTGATGGAGAGAGTTGGTCAGTTTATTTATATGTCATAGCTGTTCTGTTTACCTAGCAGTCAAAACCCAAAAGGTATTCAGTTTACAGTGACACAACAGAGAAAAAAAACACATTTGTGAACAGCTAGAACAACAGGATGTTCAGCATTTGTTATTGAAAAATTACTGAATTAATCGATGATTAAATTGTTGTTTCTGCCCATTGACTAATCAATTAATCGACTAGCTGTCAGCACTAATCAGTTGTTTAATAGGCCGTGTCCTTTTGAGCAAGGGCTCATAAAGTTTGCATCATGTGTGAGGCATCAATTCAGAAAATCCTTCACACATATGTAGATTTATCTTCACAAAAGCTTCACAAATGTTATTTTGACCAACTCCTGTTTTTTAAATAATAGCTTTGACACACTCAACACGTGAGAAATAGCGCCTATAAAAAGGTTTCATGTTTTATTGTTTTAGAACATTGAATCAGTGTTCAACAGAAATGACTTTTCAGAGTCAAAGTGAAAGAGACCAATACATCTAATCATAAAGTGAAATGTAGAAAAAAATTAAGCTCAAGTGGAAAATCACCAGAATTATCTTTCCACGAGTCAATTTCAAACCTTTTCACCAAACTTCCAGCCATCCCAATTTTTTTTATCCCCCCACTTCTCCCCCTCACCACGTCCTCTCTGCTTCTTCTCCTTCTGTTCACTGAGTTTGTCCAGGGGCAGGTTGCCCATGTCCAGGCCATAAACAGAGCGTGCCAGCACAGCCGTCAGCGAGTCCATGATGCTGGCCCACTCTGTCACCAGCTCCTCCCAGCAGGTAAGAGAGGACAGCACTGCCAGCAGCTCGTCCCATAGCTCCCGGGAGATAAATACGCACAGGTTGGCTCGCACCCACGCCACAATGATGGTCTGAATGCAAGATGAGACAACAGCAGATGAATTAGCATTGACAGACAGGGTTGCAGCAAGAAATCCCAGCCCCTGGTAAAATGTGACAACATAAATCTCACACTGTTACATCTAATTTGGTGTAGTGTCTTCTTGACTTTTTGTTAGCAAACACCCCAACAGAAACGCACACACACACACACTAAATATACAACAGGTTCCTGAGCAACATATGTTGATGGTTGGTCATACAAGAAATTGCATAGATTTACATGGATTCAATGTTTTGTAATTACATTGTACTATTAGTAAGATTATCAAGAGTAGGTATGAAGTCATAGCCACACTCACTCCCTCTTTTTTGATTTGATTAAAATACCCTGCATAGCAGTAAAAGTAAAGCTAAGCACATGCAGACATACCCTAAAGAGTATAGATGCTAAGCTTTCAGCAAAGCTGTCTTTTCTTTGGTTTTCCTGTGGCCTCTTCATCACCGCCTCAGTGATCCTCAGTAGTACCTGCAGCATTTGCTCCCTGCAGAACCAATAAAATAAAATTTGAGAGTCATGAAAGAATATCTAAAAAAAAAAAAAAAAGTAAAAAAAAAAAAAAAAATCCATGTATCTTTGGATATTTCACTGACCATGTCTGTGTGTTCATTGTGTGCTCCATGATCATGTGCCGGTAGATGCTAAGAACACCCTTGCACACCTCAACCTGGTTTTCCAGGAGTTTAGGTACGTCCTGGCATGGCTCCAACAGGAACACATTGGATGAGTTGGTCAGGAACACCTACATATATTAGTGCATGATGACACAAACAGTAAGAAGTAAGATGACTCTAATCACCTTGTGCTTTGATCTCAGGTTAGAAACACACCTCTGGACATAGTGGACACAGACCTGTAGTGTGGGCTGGATGCCAGCCTTGATGTCCCTGTTCTGCTCCTCAGTGAGAAAGCCCCGACTGATGGCGCTGCTGAACGAGTAGGTCCTCCCCCAGCTGGACGACCGTCTGTGACCATGACTCTCCGTCTTGTTGAAGACAAAGCAGGCCAGTCAAATGTTCAGTAGATGTAAGCAAGGATACTATGACAGATACTAAGCTGAGCTTTTAGTCTATGTCATACATTTTAATAACAAATAAATAAACAAAGCCCTTGGTGCACAACTTACCCTTTTTGAATTACTTAGAAGCACCTAAGATTTAGTTTGGATCTATTGTGATTTGAGCATATGATGATTCAGAGGCCCTAAGTGGATCCTCCTCTGCAAATAATAATAACAGATTTTCTATTCCATTTATACTACACTGCCAATCCCTTTTGGACCCTTTTACAATATAATAATCAGTCACAACATTATTATATACACGATAGGAAAATACACATTTACTGGCTTTCTTTTTACCTGTGCATGCATGCTGTTTGTCTCTGTGCTGAGTATCTGTTCAGAGCTGTCATCCACTTCATCTTCCTGGGCCGTTGTGTCAGGCTCTGTCATGAAGCTGGGCTTCTCCTGTAGGATCCACTTCCTGTACACTTTGATCACCTTCCTGGTTGCTGACGCCTCACAGGAGGGCAGCAGGAAAGCCTTAGTAGGGAGAACACAGAACATGGAGAACATGTTAACTAACAGTCCAGCAGACATAGTTCATGTAATCATAGTGTTGACATCCAGTCTGCATTTTAATCATTATCCAGTATGAAAACTATGCAATAGCTAGAGTGAAATTATTTTTTGCAACATCAAATCAAGAATTGCTGCTTGATGGCACCACTGTACCTGGTGGAAGACCTCGTTGACAAAATTCACATTGTCCCTGGTGGACAGCAGGATGGCATGCACCATGTCATAGACATAGCGGTGCTCCTCCTCAATGCTACACAAACTGGAATCACTGGGCCGTCGATCTGACAGCGTGCTGCTGTTGGAGTGGCTCTTCTCAGGCTCCCCCGCTGGTCCGTTTGTATCCCCATCTGATGTCTTATCCTTCTCCTTCTCCTGGCTGCTAGTGACAGTCTGGCCACCACAGAGAGACAGCGATAAGTGAGAGTCTCTTAGTATACTATAGAGCTGCCTACTCAGAGTTAAATAATTGGTCACAAGAGTTGACATCGACAATAAATTCCTGAGTTGATTAGTTGTATTTTCTTCATTATTTTTCAAATTTCTTTACGGGAAATGAGCTTCTGTATTATTAATAATGTAATCATAATAATATTAATTTTGCAATTCATTCCGTTCTGTCTCTTCTCCGGACTCCTGCCACTTGATTTGCTCTTTTGTAAAGGCAAAATGCCCCAAAACATTTAACTATTACTGTATTTGCACTCAGTTGCCACTTTACTGGTTGCAACTAGCTAAACTAATGCAGTCTACTCCAACAGCCCTGCATTAAATTCTACCTTCATGAAGGTTATAATATTTAGTTTTTGTTGAAACTATTTCAAAGACTTGATTCACCTGTATGATCATTTTGTGGGATGTAGTCTGTGGTGCTATTAAACTATACTGCATTATGTGGAGAGGTGCTTCGGTGATTTAGCCTAGCCTCAATGACATAACTGAGGTGGACAGAATAAAATACATATGTATGAATACATGTGTGTGAAGATTTTCTCAAAATCCTAGTCCTTTGTGGCCAAGTGTCTTTACACAGATACAAGTGTTTCTGGTTTTTGCAGTAACAATATACTCATAACATAACACATCTACCTCCTCCCTCCTCAATAACAGTATGACAAATAAACAGAAGGGTACTGTCTTACTCACCTGGATGAGTTTGGGAATGACCTCAGTGCCATTCTTGGCGCTCTGCGCCGCAGCAGCACTGCTGACATACTTCTTCTCCAGGAAGAAGGTGACCAGCCAGGTGATGAAGGCCACACGGGGTGCCAGGTACTGGTCCCTGGTGCAGAAGGTGCTCTCATTGTTCCGCGTCACTGGCACATACAAGGGTTTTGGTCTGTGGTGGGGGAGGTCTGATTGAGGAAGAGTGGAAAAGAATAGAGGATAGTAACAGAGGGAGGGGCAAAAAGAAGAATGCAAGGAGTAGAACGAGAGAGATCAAACATCAGCTCCCATGAGGGTATTCAGAGTTTTTCCCAACTGAATCAAACTATTCACTCAACCATGAAGCCTTGGAAACTTAACATGCATTATATCACTTAATTTTCTACCTGTTCACTTATTACACCTTTCACGTCTATAATCATCCTCCTTCTGTCTTTGACTTAAATAGTGCATTTTTATTGTGTTACTGCGAGCACGCGCATACACATACACACACACACACACACACACACACACACACTCTATCACTGTTTCCATATTGCAGTTTCCATATGCTACAGTTCATTTTTGCTTATTACCAGCTCTGCTAATTTTAAATGAACATGTCATTCTTTCTATTGTTGTGCTGAACAGCCTGCAGAATGAACTGTATTCCATATGGTGAATTTAAGTCTGCCAGTTTATTGAATAGAAGCTTTAGCTCCCATGAAGATGTACATAAGCAGACATTACAAACAGTCAAGCTGAGATTTTACAACCCAGACAGCAGTCTGTAAGTACAGTGCAACACAACATGGTGAGTACACTTTGCAGTAACATGCTCACTATGAAAAGGCTTCTGCACAAATATATATGTCAGCTTACCTAATAAAGGCTTGTAGAGGTTTGTGAGCTTGGTGAAGGATGGGAATAAATGTGGAAGGTAGTACTTCTTGAACAGGCTGAAGAGAAACCTGAAGCCTGTGTTCTGGTTCTCTTTGTTCTTCCATTCTAAACTGGATGCCTGGCAGACAGACAGCACAAAGGCAGACAAGGTCAGGCTACAGGGAGAGGAGATGGTTCCAGAGTTACTCAGACAGTGAAAGTATATTGTTTCCTACACAATAGTTTGAAGGTTCTTTTAAGAAACAGTAAACAGGGAAAATGCTTTGGTCTAGGTACACATAGTATTAACAGATTCTGACTTTACACACTTAACAACTGATGACTGTTTTTTATTTTACTGTTGTACACGACAGGGATTACAAACTACCTGAGCACACATCAACACCATGACAACATCTATATTGTATACACATATAAGTGCTGTCATATTCATAAAGTTGTGGGAGATCCGTCCAACCAGGTTGCTATAAAATTTTAAAAGCGAAAAAGAATATGGGTTAAATGGTTTCAATTGTGCCAACATTTGTCCCTGTATCTCACTTGCAACGTTGCACCACAATTTAACCCATGTCATTTGAGATTCCGTTATGATAACTATATTATCGCTGCTGGCGGCAAACAGTTGTGCAGGCTTTTCTCAGCATAATTAGTTATTACCTGAATGACCATGTACTTGAGCAGGGTTTCAAGGATGTAACAGGTCTGGTCATCTGCAACTTTTTCTCCCACCACAGCTGGAACAAGCGGGGTAATCTCCTCAGGCACCACTTTTGCTGCTCAGATTGACAGACACAAAGACCTGAATTAGTTCCAAAAAAAAAAGAGTTCTCCACTAAAAATGAACATAAACAGTCCGATATCAGTTTAATGTTTTTTTAGATGATCTCAATGACCACCCACATCACATCAGGCGACACAAATATTACAGAATCTATGTCATTATAAATGTACACATGTAGAGGCATGCACATCCCTGCCTCACCATCAGGGGGGTTGGAGAAGGGGTTGTAAATGATGGTGTCAAGGGTGCAGGGCCCTCTGGTGGAGGGCACAGCAGGGAATCCTGGCACCAGACAGGCAAAGATAAGGAACTGCTCCTCAGCACAGTTGTCCCTCAGGGCCTGCAGCCACAGCAGGAAGAGACGGATCCCCTCACAGCGGATCTAGACAGGAGGACATTGGGACGTATTAATGGACACACAAAGTAAAATAAAACACTAAACGTGACATACTATGAAGCCAGATTTTTTAAAGTTAAAATTCATGTTAATGTTAAAGGGATATGCGTGATTAGTCGACTATATAAAGAAATGTCGGCAGAAGAAATACTAGATGGTTAAACTAATCATTAATATCTTATTAGTGTAGAACGCCGGTTAACTGTTGTGTTTAAGATGTTACGTAGCTGCCTGCCACTCGCTGGGGCTGCAAACCCGGCAGACGACAGCCCCCCTCTCCCTGCACTAAAACCCGGATGTTGTAAATAAGTAAGGTGGAATGTGGGACTGTTGAAAACTCATAAAAACCAGCCTGGTTTTACAGTAATTTGATAAGGTTGTATGTACGCTGTGTCAGAATATACTGGTATATATCTACTCAGCTTGATTGTTTTTCTTACTTTTAGACTAGTCAAGTGTTCTAAATGTAAATTTGTGTTTAATCGACAGGGAAATCAGTCGTTAGGAACATCCCTAGTTACAGTGCATCATGTGGCTGGAAAAAAAAAGATTTCTCATATCTTGTGACAAACATTACCTTGAATGAATTTCCAGTGTGTAGAAGCTTTTTCAGAATAGAACCTGGAAGAAAAAAAAAAAAAAACAGAACTGTCAAAGACTTTTGCAATACAAATACTCAACAGAAGTCCCCTTCATGACAAGTAGGGCCACGACAAACAGCACAAAACTGAAAGGAGGAACCCGCTTGTCATCTCCAGTGACCAGATTGACCTTGATGGGTGGTCCTGACAAAGTAGTGGGGAGAGTGGCAAGGCTTCACATTTTACTGATGAAAATTAACATCAGTTGGCAGCGACATGCATTCATGAAGGCAATCTGGTTCTGCTGTAATCAAATGAGACATTGCTCTGATTGCTAAATACCTTGGGCGGATGAGGTCTGTGTGTGTGTGTGTGTGTGTGTGTGTGTGTGTGTGTGTGTGTGTGTTAGGACATACACTTGACAGCCTGCAGAGAACACTGTTATTATGAGGACATTGTGGGCTTGAAGAAATGTGGGCTGGTACTAAGACAGATTTTAAGTTTAGGATAAATATAACGTATAACTTTAAAAGTTATGTTAGAGAAAAAGTAAAGATAGTCCAGAGGTATGTTTAAGTCTTAATAAAAAAGTTTTTTTAACTGAGTGATTTGACTCAGGCATATCTAAGTGGTAGCCATGAAGACCTGGCTGAGTTGTACAAAAGTATAAATCAAGCTTATGTGTTTGCACGAGAGTTTATATGCGTGCTTGTCTGGTGCTTTTATTATTCTCCTCTCAATGGGTTAAATCAATAACATTTCTGTGGTCCTTACATAAAGGAATCCTTTCATAGTTCTTGGGCTCAGGACAGAAGGAATTAAAAGTAAGCAGACAGAGGATGATAAAAGGTGTGAGGATTTTCTTCAGCTTTCAACGGTTTGTGTCAAATGTCTGTGACCTTGCAATCCTCAGCTAAAAGGACAAAAACACTAAAAGTCATTAATGCCATTCCTGACCTACTCAACCCACCACAAGGAATTTATCACAGCGAACTGAAATGCTTTGATAAAAAAAAAAAAAAAAAAAATGGGAAAGAAAAAGTTATCTTAGGAATTCAATTAAAAAACAGGTATGCCAAGAAGCTATCCAGCCACCACCAAACATTCTTCAGGGGAAAGTACAGTGACAGCACAGCATCTTGACCGGTGACACACAAACTGATGAGCGGCAAAAAAAAAAAATTCTGTGAGTTCAGGAGAAGGCCAAGAGGCAGCTTTAAACCTGTGATGATTTGTTGTCCAATGACTGACAAAAACGAGAAATTGTCTGGGGCAATCTCCCCGAGATGAGTCTTGATATTTGGAATTACAAGCCTGAGGGGAGGGCCAATCTACGACTGATCTAGACCTAGACTGTTTAGCTGCCAGCGGCTGACAAACAACAGTTATAATTGAGGTTATCGCTTCATGCAAGGTTTTCCTTTTTTGTGTGGGACTGAAATCATGCCAGCATAATTCAATTACTTATTTGCATTTCAAATGAAGTGCTCATTTGCATTTCCCATTTACATCCCCTTCTAAGACTAATTATTTTCTCTTCATTATGGAGGGCTGAGGCATGGTGATGGTGACATTTTTTTTGTCACCACCGCCATGTGTATCTTAGAGGTTACAGAAGCTTCAGGAAGAAAGACACATACACAGTACATGTAACTACCTGTCAGGTACAACAAGCCGAGAGTGGTTGTAAATCAAAGTAGTGCCAAGTATTTCATGTTGGTAGAAAACTTATCAATACATACCTATACTGTGAAACTGCCATCGGTTGTAGATCTTCTCAGGCAGAAGTTGTAGAATTTTCTAATAGAAACAGAAAAAGTAACGATTAGGTTTAGTAAGTGATTCGTTGCTGGTTATTAGAGTTTGGTACATAACAACTATATTTGCAGTTGCATTAGGTTGGATAGTCAGGCCTTTTTCCTTCACCATTAACTTTGCTTTAAGCAAGAACCTCAGCACTAACCAGCTTGAGGCTTAACCTGGATTTTTCTTTTAGAGCTGAAACTATTACTCAATTATTTGACAACAAAAAATTTATATCAGCAACAATTTTGATAATCGATTGATCATCAAGTCATTTTTTTTAAAGCAAAATGGCAAAAAAATCAATGGTTTTCTTAGTCTTCTATACTTTTAAACCAAAAATTCTTTGGGTTTTGGACCGTTGGTCCCACAAAACATGATGTCTAAAGACGTCACCTTGGGCTCTGGGAAGTTGGATTTCTGACATTTTATAGATCAAACAATTAATCAATAAATCAACAAAATAATCAGTATTGTATCTATATCTGTCTGTATCCGTCTTATTTGACTCTAAAGTAAAAGAAAAGGTCGACTTTGCTTTGGTAAGTGGCACTGTTTGACCAAAACAGTATAAACTTAAGGAATGCCGCATCCTTGCCCTTTCCCTCCACTTGGCCTCGCATGTCTGCAGATCCTGTCTGTGACACAGGGCAGCACAGAGAAATGTCATCACCTCGCCAACAACCGCTTTACAAATCAATTAGAGTGCCCTAACCTTTCAGCAGCCTATCATTATTCTTGAATGCAGCAGCAGGTTAACTGGGTCCCTCTGGAGAGATGGAAAAAAAAGGCTGGGGGACGGCAGATGTGTGCGCGCATGCACGCATGGCTAGTTAATAGTCAGTGTGCTGTGAGCAATTGATGCCCCAATGGCTCACTTCTCATCAAATCCTAATCACTGACCCAATAAGACTTTGTGATTACAATGTAGAGGTCAAGTCCGTCCTTTACTGTGTTACGTACAGTATGCAGCTCTGACCCACTTAACCAGACAACCAACTCTAGTCGACATGATAAAAGGCTCATCTGCCCTGGAGAGTGAGAAACACACTAAAGCAAAGGATACAGCGCTTAAGAAAAATGTGCATGACAGAACTAAAAAGATTAAGTCCTCTCCAGCCACAGATTCAAAGTGCTACAACAGTGAGGGAAAAAAAAAGAAATACAAAAAGAAAGATGACAAAGTATAAGAGAAAGCTTCAGAGCCTATAGAGCATCAGAATAAAACTGCCAAGTACCAGCTTTTATAACCTCAAGGATTTCTTGCTTTGTTGATATAACAATAAGGTTTATGAAGATGAAATTATTTAATAAATGAAACTGAAGTTGAATAATTGTGTGAATATAGGTTAGGTATGTTATATAAAGAAATGTGTAATTTTCATGATATACCAATATTTCATATGTAACTTTTAGACAATAATCTATACATATTAGTTTGTTTTATAATATTAACTGATCATACCCTGTTGTTAAATCTTCATCTTACCACCATAATGTTGCTCTGGAAGATGGCATATGGTGACATTTTGTTGTCCAGTGCTATGCCACATTATTCTGAGAGCTGTGGCAGTCCAGAAGTCATCTCATGTTTTGAGTGTATCAATTTGTCAACAACTGTCTTCTTCCCCTGTCATCGTCCATCTTTAACTTTCTGTTCTTGTCCTCTGAAACTAAATCCCTGTCATTATCAGTGACACGGGAGATACTGAAAGACATACATCACTTTAAGGGGGTGCTGGATGACTATCTGTGCTGCTCAACTTCTCTCTGATCCACAGATGTGATGATATGCGTGTACAGGCGTGTGGCTGCACCTTGCTATTGATCCCACATGGGATTATTACATCTCCGTAAGGCTCTGTACTGGTCTCCTCCACTCTGTCTCCTTGGTGCAGCAGACACATTATGCTAGGCTGTAACACAGCAGGGTAGCCTGCTTAAGCCTTTGCCAGTGTGTGTGCGCAGACACAATAACACCATCTTTCTCTCTCCTTACAGAGCACCAGGAAGGGAGAGTGGGAATGAGATGGAGAAGCTAGCTCAGAAAGACTCCCCGTGGAGCTGGAATGGCGGCCGCAACAATGAGGAATTTACTGGGTGATATGCTGCGAATGCAGAGTCTGCTGGACTAGAGGTTGGTGGAGTTACTCTAATCTGCAGCCATACTCCAGCATAAAGATGGGGGCATTACTGTGGTACAACAGCAGCCTTAACACATTTACATGATCCGCACTTAGGTTTCCAGCCACAGGGCCTGAACATGAGACAGAATACACTTCTCCCAGAGGTGGTCTACAAGGGCTTTTAGATGGCAGCAGCAGACACTCAGCATTCTCAGAAGAAATGCAGTTATTTACATATTGTTTAGGTTTTTGATAACATTATTATAGCTTCTAAGGATGATGAAATCTCCTGAGAGATGATGACAATGGAGACATAAAACACTAACCTATTAACACAATGTACATGCAAGATCAGAAAACAACTAATGTGTCAATTACATAACAAAACGTAGATCACAGAGAAAGAAATAGTGAAGTAGGTAAAGCAAAATAACTGTTAATTAAAAGTATTATCTTTCCATTACAGCAGAGTATACTTCAGCCTACAAAGAAAATGAGTCTCTGACTGTACAGTCACTTGTTGGCCTCATGCACTGTGAGAAAACATAAGTTACACACCTGCTTTGTTTAAAATGCTTTCTAAGGTAAGTCCAAACAGTGGAGACCAAACCAGACTGCTTATTTACATGCTAACCAAATGTCCTCAGCTTGCCCTCATTACTTGTGGATAAAGGCCTTGGTAAATGCAGGCTAGTAAAGCATATGTCATGTATAGTAACCTCAAAATACAATACTGTTTAAAGCCTAAAGCACTTTTTGAGTTTTATTTTAGAAATATTTATAATAGTAAGAGATGTTTTCATTTTCATTCTCCTCTGTAGCCAGTGGGTGGCAGCAGCAGAGCGCAATCAAAGTCCTTCCCAGGCTTCTCAATGTTAGCTCAGACATCAGGTTCAGGTTCCTCTTTGCCCTTAGTGAAAGCCAAGCTGCAGGAAGCTTCCTCTAGGACCAAATTATTATCATGTTTGGGCATGAATAGTTTTGGACAAATGAACCATGCTAAATTACATGTCAACAAAGCCACACACTACAAAATATGCATCTGTAAAATGTTCATAAATCATTGTTCTTGCATGTGACAAAAACAGTTATCTGTAAAATATACGGCAGCACTCCAGCAGTTCAGGTTTGAAGGCTAAAGAACAGGTTAAAACATAATGTGAGACATTAAGATTCATTTACTCAGCTTGTTCCATGCGTAAACCCATGCTACACTTAGTAAATTTGCATTTATGCATTAACCAATAATCCCCTGCTGGTGAACTGTCAGTCATAACTTGGACTAAAGAGGAGTGAGGGAGAAAAAGAAATCACTTAGCTAAATGGCCCTAGGTTAATTTCTCTGACACGTTAGCCAACATGTAGAGGAGAGTTTCAGTTGATGTGCATCAAGAGGAATGAATATGATGCCATTACGCCAGGCACAAGAAGACAGGATTGTTGATGGCTGTTTATGATACAGAGTGACACTGTGTTATTAATTACCTTCTTTCTCATTTCTGACCATTTACACACGCACTGCTTAAATGGCACATTTGTGTGTGGCATTTAAATGAACACCAGCCACAATCAATCCTCTGTTTGCCATGAGCTGTGGCAGGTGGACTATAAACCACCACATTCTTCCTTATTCTGGTCTTTTTTAAATGTTAAGTTTCTGACTTAAATTAGCAAGTGCAACTGTTTGGATATAATATAAACAGAAATATCATGCTTTTTTGTCCTCCTTTTTCCTGTATGTTGATTCAGTTTTGGTTTCTGGTGGTTCTGCCATGGATCTCCTTAGATTTAATCTCAAGTGACCATCTTGGGTAAATACACATAAATCCGTCAAAAGCCTCTGATTTTCTGCAGCTTTCTAAAAGACAACCAAATATTTATTACCCGTGGGGTGGGATAGATACACAGTTATTCATCAAAACTAAGGCGCACTAGATTTCATAGGCACATTTACCATATATGGCAAATCAGTAAATCAAGTCTCAAATCTAGATTTGGGGGGGGGGGGGGGTCGTCACACAGAGGATGGCAAGGGGAATTCAGAATGCTGAGTCAGGTCCGGATGACAGACGGCAGGACAGGTCATGGTGAGGTCATATCCTGGAGTGAAAGTGGACATAAACAGACTTCCCTCTGAGTTTCATTGGTCCCAGAGCTGTCCCTTAACCTGTCCCACAACCTCAGTGGCATCAGGATCGAACTGCTTTCAGACAGTAAGAGGTCATCTATAGTCATACAGGAGTAAACAAACTGGACAAACTGTAGACCCCTGAGGCCTGAGAATTGAGTATCCTTACCCCAAAGCTAAATCTTGTCTCATGAGAGCAATAACAGTCTTCTAAAACAGAAAGTAATCTTATCCAGTTTTATTCCTGGAACTACACCTACATGCTGATAAACAGCAGATTTTCTGTAGCTTTCTTACTATGTGCTTTAATTTACTCATGGTTTGGATCCATAGCATCAAGTGGTGACATAAAGACAATTAGAAAGAATGCATCCTGACTCCTATACAATATAGAAATGGCTGCCAAAGGGAGACAAACATTATCCAACTGACAAGGACACGGTATTACACACCTGCAAAGTATTGATGCTCGAAAACTCTTTTTGCAAACACGGGAACGCAAACCATTACAAACCTGAATGAATCATCAATAGGTCTATATCAGCGTTGCAAATCTGGACACTGCACTTTTTCACCAGTCCTCTTTGCAAAATCACTCAAGCTCTATTAAGTTAAATGGGGACCATGAGCAAACAGCAATCCTGACCTAAGTTCTCAATTAGACTGAGACCTAGATTAGACTTTGCCATTTCAGGACATAAAGGTTTTTGTTTCCAGCCCGGGCTTTAGGTTTGTGGTCATCGTCTTGCTGCAAAATAGATCAGACCAAACTACAACAGATGTTTTTTCTCCCAGAATTTAACCCTTTACTTTCACAAACCTTCCAGGGTCAGTTGCAATGAAGCATCGCCACATCATGATGCTGCCACCACTTCGCTGATGAGAACGGAGTGTTTATTGTTTTCTCACTATGGTGCTTTATAGTGGGGCTGTTGTGTTTTGTTTACATCAAACACAGCATTTAGTAAGATGCCTAAAAAGCCTTGATTTAGGCCTCATCAGACCATATTGTACAACCTTTATCCATTGGTGTGGTACCCAGGCACTGGCTGCTGTATGCACAGCATTCCTCACCTTAGCCATTAAACCTGTAGCTACTTCAGCTTTACCAAAGACCTCATGCTCACACTGACACTCAGATTTACAGTAGTACAATATTCTTTTCATTTTAGACTGATGAAAAGACTGATCTTATTATAGTCTGTGTGGTTTCCAGCACCATGCAAAGTTGTCACATTCTTTTTCACAGGCCTTGCTGCTGAATTTGTCTGAATGTTCCTTTGTCTTCATGAGTTAGTTGTTGCCAGGCAATTGACTATCACCTAGTTCCATATACAACTGTATTTAACTTACAATCACTTGTCACACCTTGATTACACACAGGTCTCCCCTGAACATCTTATGCAACTTCTAAAACCAATCCTCAAGACCAGTGATGATTTAGATGCCACACAGTAAAAGGGGTGAATACTGAAGCAATGCAGTATTCTTGCATTTGGATCAATGAGTTCCAATTTAAAGAAGAAAAAAATCAATAGGTTAATACTTTTACGTTATGTAGGTACTGAATAAATCTGTTGCTCAGCTCTGGTTTTACATGTTAAAAACCTACACACAGGCCTCAAGCAGTCCAGCATTTTTTAACAATGTTGTGGCATTCTTACAGAGATCAGGTCTCTCATCTGTCAGTCCTGCTGCAGCATCACTAACTACCATGGATGCCTCTGTGGCAGCAGACACAAAGAAATCCTGGAAGGGAATGGTGATGGCTGCTGGTGGCAGTGGGGGTGGGGTGTTCCAGCAGAGTTTAGGGGGAGGGACAAAAGATTACCCCCTCTAGATATCCATTACTCAAACAGGCTCGGCATGGGGGATCATACTCCCCTACAGCAAGCCACGGAAAAAGGGGTCACATACCTCATCATGACAGTGAAGTAATCCCCACGTAGCCAGCTCAAAGCAAACAACACACACACCGCAGACGTGTACTGTATATGTCAGCCAGATTTCAATGCAAGGAGGGACTGAGGTGATGGAGAGTGCAGGAGACCATATTCCCATCTGCCTAGAGAGATGAGGACATAACTGTGGCTTTCCCGGGAAATTCTTCAACAGAATAAGAAGGGCAGCGATGTTGAGCTTTGTTCTTCTTAACCTGTCAGACAGCATTAAAGTGTGTCGCAAAGCACAGAGCTCCAAAAAGGCTGTTGTCCCAGCAGCTGTCCATTCATAGCTACTCTATACACCGCTCTGAGGCTGCTTGGACAAAGGCAGCTACGGCTTATGTTCTGGTCGGTTGACTTCTGTGACTAAAGCAAATGATACACATTTATGAAAAGCTTTATCCTGCCAGGAAAAGTTAGGTTTATGATAAAACGCCTCAAATTTCTGTATTTACTTCAGAAAGGAAAATGATAACGGTGCAAAATTCACTGGGATAACATGATACATATTAGTAGTGCATGTTTGTGAGCACAAAGGTATCAATTGATATCATATTCATGACCACATACGGTCCAACATGCCTAATCTAATATGGCATAAAAGAGAAAGTCCGCACAGTGTAGCAGAGCTCAGGATCAAAGCAACCCTGTATCTGTCCTGTACACACCACTCAAAGCAAGCTTATCTTCTCAGTGCATGGGTAAAAGCACACGTTGTCACAGGCAGGGGCTAAAAGGGGACAAATGAGGGTTAAGCTGCTTTCAATATTAGTTCTTTTTGAAAAGATGACTCCATAAATATGTAGCAGGCATGAATCCAGGCTTTAGTTACAGGTCAGATGACTGAATGTGGACAGGCAGGGAGGCTATCCTTGTGAGGAGTGGAGACAACTGGAGCGAAATCTAGTGAGTTCGTTTTTCTTTTAATAGATGGGGAGCAAATATCTTAATGATTTTCTTTATCTTGATTAGAGACTAATTTAGCTTCCAAACAGCAGGCTAAGAAGGCCATAGAAACATAAACTCTAAATTCTACAAAAGAATGCCAATCCTGAATGACTATCAGCAAACAATCAAACAAACTGCATATAATACAGGCTCTAAAATGTGCTACTGTGTACATACTGAGTCAAACAGACAGGACGAAAAAGATCTAAGTTGATAATATGACAATAGAGCCCAAGATGCATTGGACATTCTTGACTGGCAGTTAGGAATCTACAGCAAAAGACAGACAACTGTGCCTGGCGTGATGCTACTGTAACAAACTCATGAACTGGTCAGTGGGCCTGAATCCAAAGTTAAGAATCCTCTGTTTTAGCTGGAATGACTTACTCTATGTTGGACATAATGCAAGGAACACTCCCTCACACTGCTCCCAGGTGATCAGAAAAACTAGGACAAGACATACTGTACAAAGAGGGACAAACAGACTGCCCCCCCATCTTTTTTTTGATTTGCTGCCATCCTTACAGCCCTGCCCTGTGCAAATGTAACTGGAGAGCTGAATGTTTGTGTTGGAAACTGGAGCTGCCTTTGCAGTCAGGTGGGAAAACCAGGTAGGGGACTTTAACCTGCATGTGCAACATAAGAGAGGGAGGGGCTATAGAGCCAACACACAGACACAAGACATGCCTCCTCTCATCTGCATACACACATAGGTTTTAAATACAATAAATGAACTGAAATCTCTCCCTCAACCCGCAGAAGGCTGGAAAATTATTTGATGATTCTTTCATCTGCAGAACCTCCAATTGATTTCCAGGCTATTTGAGGCAAATTCAGGAAGTAATTAGAGTATGCAACATGGCACCATGGAAACTGTGGTTGCACCCCAGAGTTCAGCAGTAAACAGGTTGAGGCTGTGGCAGCTATCAGTGGAAATCAGAAATGGAGACATCAGCAGACAAAAAGACAAATGACTTACTTCAAAAATAAAGAGGATAGAGTCCAGCTCCTCCCTTTGAGATTTGTTCCCTGAAACACATGGAAAATACTTAGATTTTTAAACACATAACCTGCAGCCACACTGCATTAGCTTCATCAATAATGTAACAATAATATGGACCACTCATTCACAGGAACTTATGTTACCATGAAAGCATACTCCCAGTGGGAACAAATCCTCTACCCATGACAGTGTTATACTGGTAATACTGGACCAGAAATTGCTTTTCTATGGGCTTAAGCTCATTACACTTGGGGCAGAAGGATATACACCCTTGCCGTAACATACACCATAAAGAGCAGAGAGAGGGTTAATTATTGAACCACAAGCAAGGTGGTCAACTAATCAGTTAAAAAAAAAAAAAAAAAAAAAAAAAAAGGTCCGTACTCACCTTTTTGTTTTAAGTTGCTTTCCAGTGTAATGAAATTTTCATAGAAGATAAAATAAATCTGAGAACAGTTGCTCTCGAAGAATGCCTTCAGTTCACTCTTGTCAATGATATCTGCGGAAAAAGAGGAAACACCATCAATGACACCTTGAAGGAAAAAAGCATATTATACCTTGTTGTCAAGATCCACCTTTAACCTGAATCCGGCCAATAAGTTATTATGAAATGGAAAGAGATTTTGTCAGGGTTTTTGGTAATCATAATATTGTGGTTTAGCTTGCCTTTGTGTTTTCCCAGTTACAATGGCTAATGATATGAATGCTATTAAAAGGTAATGATACACCAAACTTATTTAAAGAACAAATTAATGATCCTAGTAGTTTGATCATAATGTTGATTTTGCTGAGGATTTCCTTTCTCAGAATTTCTGAATATCTTTTCAGCAATCTGCTGTCACCAACAGCCACTAAGGAATGACTGTCATGTTAAACTCATAAAGGCTAATATTTGATTTTATCAGTATTGTGAATCTTCTGTGTCCATGTGTCAAGGTTTGTCAGTGTACAGAACATAGAACAAAACTGCCACTACTGTTTTGAGATACCTGATTGCTTCTGAATATCTTGAGAGTGACTTTCTTTAATTTTAAAGATGCCACAGGTACTATTTGCTGTCTCTTTAATTCAACAGTGACAATGTTAAAATCACTGTTGCGCAAATGACTTTCAACTTCTTCCCCATTTTGCAGACTACATCTGTTTTACATCAAGCCAATTTGCTTCACTTCTGTCCCCTGTGTAACTTCACCCACCTGTAATCACTAGTGGAATGATGACAGGCTTTATAATGGTGTTGAAAACAACTTTGCCACCCGATCTGATGATTTCCCAATCTTTGTGGTGGTGCAGATATTTCTAAAACATCCCTCTTCTGCTGATGATGCAACAAAGTATGAAAGATTTAATTTAAGGTGGAGAGAGAAGAGTGAAGACTTCATGTACAAAGACACACATCTTTGGACACTAACTCACATCAATGCGCCAGTGACCTTATGTTCAACTCGTGTACTGAGGATATTCCTCTCTCTGCTGCTGACCTATACACTGCTCTACAATATGTTGAATACTGTTGACTAGAGGATGTTTCATTCCCAGGTTTGTCTGCACTTTTAGCAAAAGCCAAATCATGAATCAAAGTGCACTCTGAGTTTAGGGATAATCTCACTTGGTCTTATGGATATGAAGAGGGAAGAGTCTGGATCGAGGACTATAATAGTGTGGTTAATGAGGGAAATAGGTGGTACATGTATACAGTCACAAACAGGCTGTCACAAAAATCTCAAATTCATGTAAGGAACCTCTATCATTTGCCTCACTTATACAACCGTGGTGATGAGATAGGTCTGGACTGAATAATCAAATGTAGGCCAGGAGGAGTCCTGGCACAATAACAGCAATTAAGGTTCACCTTCTGCTGCGATTCTCCCTCTACCACATGGCAAACTGGAAGACGCCCAGAAGCACTCCAGCTCATGCAGAGTGCTGGAATTATGTAGCGTGAGACAAAGACTCAGATGAGTTATCCTTGCCCTGAGATTAAAGCAAAGATAACGAAGATGCATGATGGGAGGATCAAGGCAAAGGTATGACTGATTTTAGTCTTCAGCCTTGACGTAAGGAACCACCAGCAAGGAATCATCCAGGGATCCAAGGAGGATGATGGGCTCTTTCACAGTTCAGAGGTCTACAATGTTACGAGCAGATGGATGCAGTTCTGCCTTAACGGGCACAGAAAAGTAGCCAGAGACTAGTTCTTTGTTAAGAAAATGTAGGAATCTGTAGTTCTCTCCATTTTTCAGCTGTATTTTCTCCACTCTGTGTGTTTTGCACACAAAGAAAACATCCAATGCTTGAACTCAACCTCTCAAAGAAAGCAACACTTCATTAAATGCTCCTTGCTCCTGGCATGAAGCTAATCACATCTGCTAAATTCACATTTAAGCACAAGCGCTGACGCACATGAGCGCACACCCTCACACACACACTGGGGACTTTAAGGAAAACTTTAATGGTAAGAGTAATGATTGTCCATGCAATGGCTTGCAGTCTCACGGCCAGTGAAAAGTGCATTCAGTAATACTCCCCTCAGGCACGAGCAGCAACAGCCACCACCAGAGGCAGTGGATGCAGGCAAAGTCAGCATGTCTGTGGTTAAGTAAAACTACAATTGTGGCTAATATTTTATCTATCCATTTATCTTTAAAGAAACACTGAGGATAGTCAGTTCTTCTTTGTATTTTATTCTACAGCACTTCAGTCAACTCTGGTTGAATTAAAGGTGCTTTTTAAAATAACTACTTAATTTGATTTGATTCCCACCCAGTGTTGTTAGCTTTGGTTTCTTTGGGTTTATCTCTGAGCTGGCAGCATCGGCTAACCTAGGTAGCTAGAGTAATAAACTGCTCTGCTGTACCAAAACAACACTCCTGTCTGAAAATCCCATGGGCCTTTATATTCGAAGAGGAGTGCAGTGAAGTGTGGAGAATGGACTAGAGTTTATACCCAGACAAACACCTCTTGAAGACAAAAACTAGTACTTTACTGGAAAATGTGGCTAAAAAAATTATCACTTAAAAAATGTCACTTTAAGTGTACAAATAGATTTTATTTTTGTTTTGTTTATTTGCTTTTATGCCTAAGGACTCGGGTTTGAAGGAGCTCCAGTCTTGTACCATCACGTGTTTAAGTTTTTGCCACTGCTTATTCTGTTGGGAGGGTCTCCTAAAAGCTCAGGAAAACAGGGGAGGTAAGGACAGGATGAGAAGATCCTTAGTTAAACTAAATCTGGAGGGTGCCAGGGTTGTTTTTGAGAATGCATGTGCATATTTATAATGCATATCAGAGAGTGGGCTGCTGTTTAGATAAAACTGGTTTAAGACAAATTACAGCTGACTTGCTTAAGGCTTTCACATTCAACAAAATCCCTTACACAAGCAAGAATAGCTTTGGTCCGTCTTCTATAATTAGGCCATTACTTAAGTCTGTCACTTTAAAAACATAATGTAGCACCTAATATCATTCAAGATTTGAAGATGTCTAATTAAACAATCACAAAAGAGCATTTCTTAATATCACACAGGTCTGATCAGTGCCAACACTGTACCAGCGTACATGAGAGTGAGAGAGAAAGGACAAGAAGAGGAAGTCTATAACAATTATGCAACTCTAATTTGCATATTGTTGGGTGTGTGAGAAGTTGATGGGTGCTGGGTCAATTTCATATGTCATGCTGCATGTCAAAGAGGCATCACAGCTTGTCATCCTGTGCTCTCCAGCCTTCAGACTCACGGCTCTGCATCTGCTCATATCAGCCACTGAAGCATGACAGATGGTGGGAGAGGTCTTAAGGGGAGAAAAGAACATTTTTAAAATGAAAAGATCACAGGACTACTGACATTGAGCAAGAGTCTCGGGTGGATGCTAACCATGTCAGAAAATGCTGACAAGGCATTGATCAATCTCCCTGTAGTGAAGTCCAGACAAAGACAGTCTAGCTCTGTGATTCAAATTAGTAACAGACCTACTGTCCAGGCTTCATATAGCAAACCTCAGAAGCCACTAATGAATGAAAATTCTCTATGAATTGTTGGTTACTACTGACATATCACTCCATTAATGATCTACAGACTGAGTAGAAGTTTGCCTCTTTTTTCATGCTCTCTGGTTTCGGTCTTACTTTTCAGCTGGACCGCAACAGCGGGGTCAGCCCTATAAATGCAAATGTCTGTGACTGACTGACTTGACTGACTGACTGACTGACTGACAGAGCTGAGTGAGTGATGGAGTTACACCACTTTATGGACAAATCTTGGCGACTTTCCAAGGAAGTTAGTTGCTCGCATTGTCCTTTGAGCCAGTCAGACTTTCCCTGCGCAGACACACCTCTCTATGCTGACCGTGAATGAGCTTCTAACTTTCTGAGTGATCATTTTACAAGTAAATGTAGCTGAAATCACAGCACAGCCGTTGCCCTTAACTTTTGTGTATGTTGATTTTGTCAGATGACGTTGTGTTTATAAAATCAGGATTGTAGCAGCAGAGCAACAGCTTGGGACTGGCCTGCAAGTGACTGCTGGTTAGTATGTAGTGTTAATTGGCTCTTTTTCAGTCACTATTTCATACTTGTTCCGATGTCTGACAACAGACACAGAAAAATATGTAAATGAGAACAGTTTTATTGGGAATTCGACTGTCTCAAAATACTGTATATGTGATCACAGAGAGCAGGAGAGAAGCAAACCAAAGAAGGGCTGAAACTGGCTGAAACTTTGCAGAATGCAAATAGCCTACAACATGGGTCCAGCCATATACTAGGTTCTGGCCTAGCCTTGTTGTAAAAAGTAAATGTTTGGCTGAAAGGATGAAATTGAACAATGGTTGTGAGCATTGTGAGCACTGATATCCAACAAGACCCTTCACTCAATGGCTTCACTAACTTCTCAGGTAACAGCATGTGGACAGAAACAGACAAAACAGGTTCTCCAAGTCCTGGGAATGCAGGGGATGACACTGTATCCTCTGAGCCCAACAAGATAACTGTGTCCTACAACCGACTACCCTCCATCTGCAAGACTTCCATCTCAAAAACAGGAAAACAGTGTTGGATTAACAGCAGCTGTAGAGAGCTGGGATCACACAGGGCTGTTATGGTGGGAGAAAACCTTGTGTCTTAAAAGTGGTGACTGTAGCTGAATGAGCTGATAGCTTGGCTGTTTGAAGAAGCAAAGTTAATGCCAACAGTCAGTCATCTGATTCACACATAATAGCACTTCTTGTAGAAGAGTGCTGAACTAATAAAAAGGAAAAGAGAAACCCCAGCCAAGTTCAGTAAAATAACAAACCAGGGGTCAATTGTTGCTCCAAATGCTACCCTAGTAATTCTACTTCCTACTGAATGAAGTTAAATGCTCAGCTAGAGCCCATAAACTGCCTAAATGACAGTGAACTACTCTGCAAGGGGATCATTAAGTCAGCCTTATTGTTAAATTACTAAAAACTGAATGAACCATGGTCTAGATACTGGTGAGAGTGATAACTTTATGATGCAGAGACCTG